CGCGTCAACGACGAGGACGAGGAGATGGGTTCCCCCACTCCCAAGGCTTCTGGCTCGAATCTTCAGCTCGAAGATCTCGCTCCTCCGGCGAAGCGTGCCAAGATCAACTCGATCCCCGACGTCGAGATGGCCTCCGCGCAGCAGAACGACGAAAGTCAGCTGTTTGACGGAGAGAGTCGCCTCTTCTTCGGATCGTCTGGCGGCGATACCATTGATCTCGACTGGAGCGCCAGTCCCTTCAACTCCGCCGACGATCTCCTCCAGGCACAGGGCGAGGGGATCTCTGACGAAGCCCTGATGAAGTCGATCGCGGACAGTGTCAACAGCTTCATGCTGGAGTCCGTCGACGCGGCGACTGCCAAGACTGCCGAAAGGCAAGTACCCTTCTCTTCTGGATCACTGCGCAAATCTCACAGTGCCACACCTCAGCGCGTAATTACTGTCGCAGCGGGGACCGTACTACATTCGTTGATGACTGGATCTCATGAATTTTGTACGAATAAATTTTGTGTGCACTCCAATATTGCTGCGTGTCCAAGATGTAAGGGGAAATCCGCTGAGAATTTCGGTGACTTCCCACCTTTGTGGATGGCCGATTCTGGCGCCTCATTGCATGTGACTGCGGATGAGAGTGATCTTGCTGAGTACGAACCTATCGAGGATTCTGAACCCCTGCAGACAGCATCGGCTAGTGCGTCTTTACGCGTAGTTGGTCACGGGACAGCATTTGTGGATCACTACGTCACATGGCATGGACAAAGGAAAGTAATGACTTCCCAAATTTATCCGGTCTATCATGTACCTGGATTACATGGTCGTCTTCTTTCCTTGGGCACTCTATTGAAACAGAGTGGATTGCAAATGCGCGGAAACGCTGCTTGCATCAGCTTGCATCGAAGGAACTCTCCTCTTTCGATCATGGAGTTTACACCGCTCCACCCTTTATCCACGATTTACTGGTTATGGTGCAGACCCTCTGTCACCAAAACGTTGCAGAATGTCAGCCTCATCTATAAGGTGGACTACGACACGATGCACCGGCGATTTGCGCACCCGTCGAAAGACGTTCTACGTCAGGCGCGCAACCACACCAAGGGCTTTCCCCAAGACCTTGAGTTTCCTGCCGACCCTCGTCCGTGCAGAGGATGCGCTGAAGGGAAGATGCACGCTCGCTCTTTTCCATCTTCGGAGCATCGCGCAATGAAACCGTTTGAGTTAATCCACTCGGATCTCAAACAATTCCCGACGATATCTTATCACAAGTATCGTTACTTCATGAGCTTCTTTGACGAAGCACTCTCCTATGGCTGGACAGTATGCCTCAAGCAGAAGTCCGACGCCAAACAGGCCATGCGCAATTTTATTGCTATGGTAAAAAACCAGTTCGAGACCACGATTAAAAAGTGGCACATCGACAATGGGGGAGAGTTTCAGGGAATGGGTATGGAGGAATTTCTCGAGGAGAATGGGATCCTCGTGGAGAAAGGCGCACCCTATGCTCATCAGCAGAACGGTCGTGCCGAACGCTTCAACCGGACGATTATGGACAAGGCTGAGTCTATGCGTTTTACCGCATGCCTTCCTAATTCGTTCTGGGAGTTCGCGATTTTACACGCGACTCGGGTCTACAACTGGACGCCTATTCGGCGTTTGAAGTGGAAGACTCCGCACGAAGCTCTCTACAAGGACAAACCGGATATTTCTCATCTCCGGGTCTTTGGTTGCGGCGCATACGTCTTTATCCCCGAGGAGAAACGCCAGAATAAGTTATCGCCCAAAGCGGAGCTGATGACGTACCTGGGCATGTCCAATGGGGTAAAAGGCTTCTTGTTTATGCGCACAAACGGTGCTCTCTTCGTTGGCACTCAGGCCACGTTTGATGAAGCACTGTTCCCCCGCTGTCCTGACAGCACTCGTCGTCAACACGTACCAGTTGGGGAAGATTTCCCACTTCGTGATGATGATCCAGCGGATCCACAAGATCCACCACAGGAATCAGGAGACATGCCAGGCGACGATGATGAGGATTTCCCACCTCCACGTCCCGCTGCTCCGGCTCCACCTTTCCCTCCTCAAAGAGGACCTGATGATGATGATGACGATCAGAATTGTCAGGACCCGCCGCTTGATCGCCGGGATCAGACTCCAGAGGCAGCTCCGCCCGCTCCCAAGCGTGGCAAAGGGCATAAGAAAGCAGGACCACCTCCTGAACCTACTCGGAAGTCTACGAGACAGCGGACCCAGGTTTCTAGTCCTGATAACATCTATGGAGATCGCGCTCCAGCGGAGATTGAACGCGATGTCTCGAGCGAGTCGAAATGGAGAAGAATGGTTGGCGATGACGAACCGCATAGCTCGCGCTCGAAAGCCACCTCTGATGCTGAGAAAAGGGTTCCCGGCCCTAGCTCACAGCCATCTTCGCGCGCAGATGCTCGAGAGCATCTGGATGAGGACGAAGCCCGCATGGCGAAGCTATGCCGGGAAGGGGGAGTAGAGCTCATCACTGAGTTGCTTTCCAAAGCGGTTCCGGTTGATGATGATGCTCTTCCTGACACGTCCAAGATACGCGACTGGACGTTCAAAGACATCTTGAAGTTGCCACCCGCGCAACAGAAGGAATGGATGAATGCTTGCCGCGAGGAGTTAGAGGCACTCCGTCAGCGCAAAGTCTATTCCCTTGTGGATCGTCCGAAAGGACGAAAGGTCATCAAATGCCGCTGGGTCTTTGATCAGAAATCTGATGGCCGCAAACGAGCCCGCCTCGTCGCCAAGGGTTTCAGTCAAGTTGAGGGAATCGACTATGACGAAATCTTCTCACCTGTCGTCAGGTATGAGACGTTCCGCCTAGTCATGGCGCTTGCAGCGCTTGAAGGCTGGCACTGGTCAGGCCTCGACGTCTCCAAGGCTTTCCTTTACGGGGACCTGGACGAAGAGGTCTACATGGAACAACCCGAAGGCTTCGCGGTGAAGGGCCAAGAGCGCAAAGTCATGCGCTTGCACAAGGCGATCTACGGACTCAAACAAGCTGCCTTAGCATGGTGGAAAGCGCTTACAAAGTCCACGAAAGCCATGGGCTGGGTCCGACTCACATCGGATGCCGGCGTGTTCTTCTACCAGGACTCTAACGGCAAACTCGCTGTTATTGTAGTCTACGTAGATGACGCTCTGTTCTTCTCCAAGGACAATGATGGGATCGTACGCTCACGAAAGACGCGAAGTACAGTCTAGCTAGACGATCCACACAACCAAACACCAACAACCACGATAGCAATGAACACGCTAGACTGGAGGCGCTACGAGAGCGGGCGAGTCCGAGTATTTATATTACTTGGGGATAGATTGTGTTGTTTATGCCAGTTCCAGACGAGCTGGACTGAAGCGAGAAGTCGAGTGGGGCAATCGGACGTCTCAGCGTTCTTACGAGCGCTTTCGGGTTTGATTGAAGTTCACAAGGCGGTTTAATGCGCTCGGAAGTTCAGGCTTTTTATGATGTGTAAAGTGCGGGTTAACGCGGTTGTGTTTATTTGGTGTGGTGTGTAGGTACTAGGGCTTCTCTGCGCGGGGCGGGAAAAGTCCCCGAATCGTATGTAGGTCTCGGTATATAACTTGAACGCGTCGTCTCGGCCGTCCAGACCGCGCGGTAACACACAATGCCTATCTCTGAGTCAAAATCCAACTATAACGCCTATCCGCGCGTTCTCCTGTCCGAATAATCGCGCAATGACTGCGGTTCCTGGCGGTAGAGCGGTTGACTGGTCGGGTATCCTCCTGCGCCGCAATGCCGGGCGCGATTCCACACTTGTTGATGTTTACCAAGGCAAGGCCGGCCTGGTTTCCACCCGTTCCCTTGTGCGCGACGCGGCTCAGAGGCCTGCGCGGCGGGGAGCGTACAGCCTAGACTGTCGATACGCGGGGAGTGAAGCCCTTGCCGGGGCGGACAGCGCTTGGCGGCGCCAACGCTCGGTTCGGAGTTCAACTCGGCGATGTCCGAGATCACGAGCTCGGACCCGAAGTTCCGGTCTCGGACCCGGAGTCACGTGTAGTCACGTTGATGGTTCGAGTTCCGCTTGCGCGGTGCTCTGCGTGTCTCCGCATGACGGCGAGCAGCAGGAAGGCTTGTCCGAGCCCCAACAATAATCTAGATTCTCTTGACACAGCAGGGCAAGAGGACTGAAGGCTTGAGGCGCGTATAGCGCGGCTACTTGATTAAGTAGGGCCCGCCAAAGGACTCGCAGGATGTCATCGACGACGCGCAGACTCGTGATCAGGCGCCGAAGAGCTCGCTACTATCCTTGGTCAGTCATTGCAGACGGATAATGCTGCGGACTAGTTGTATTGAAGGTTAGGAAGCGTGGCGCTCCTGGTTTTCTGTGTCATAAAATACCCCCGACGCGCCCGTTGTACAGTCGCGACGTCGGTGCAGTATATACGGATCCGCCCATACAATCTAGACCAAGTCGACTATATATCGCTTGTTTATGTATGTTTTTCCGCGTTTTTCAGCCGCAGGGCGTATCATCTCCCCCACACCAATAATCCGGACCGTCCTCCACCTGTGGTCGGAGCCAAATGTAATTTGGCATGGATGTAGCCGCGGGGTCTGTTTCATTTGCCATGGATGCAGCCATCGATGGCTGCATCCATCCCCCAGCAGATATGCACAACCTGGGCTAGTTCGGACTGGCTGTTGTCTCAAGCCCCGTGGCTCAGCTCAAGATGGCACGGCAGGGCGTTTTAAGGCTGCGCTGTGGCCCAGCTCATTTTGAGGCTCGATCTCGAGCTGTTCTCGTCTACTAGCACAGCAGTAGAATCTGATTTCGGAGGTTTCAGTAGACTAATGTACAATGAGATCGAACTACGTATGTACTGCGAAAACCCTGCTATCGCGTACGAGAAAAGCCAGCTGGCTGAGTAAGCGGCGGCGAGAAGTTGCGCGCATCGTGCACATTCCCGATCTCGCCAGCTTGCGCTTCGCGTACTATGCCCAGCAACGTTGACAGCTAATCATGCGGGTGCACCGGGGCACTCGAAGGGCCTCGTGGCACGTGTTTGGAAGGCGGCGGGGCAAGGGGAGGTAAACGACAGCCCTCGTCGAGGCGCGATAATAGGTGGGGTATGCGGGGCATCCATCGCTCGCGGAACGACCGCGCGACGGCCTCCACTATAGCGCGTTGGCGGAGGGCATAAGCGCGTAACCCGTGGCACATGTACGCGTCGCGAGTAGGCAGCGCGTCGGCTCGTTGCGCCCACTCCTGACCCGTCCACGCAAGATGGCGCAGTACGCGCTGCATCTCTTCTTCGAGGAGCATAACCTCCTCGCGCCATCGCTCGCTTCGAGCGCGCGCCTTCGCCCATTCCACACGAACAGCTGTAGTGTTTATATAAGCACTGTCCGTCTACTTCAAGAAGGTATGCTCACCGTCATGGACCTGCGCCTCCTCGTCTTGAACGGGCCCTCCTAAGCATGTCCAAATCCAGGACGTGAGACTGCGCCGCCCATCGGCGCGGCGGACGGCTGCGATTTCGCGACCATGGCGAGTGTTGTCGGTGTCAGTCTTGCGCGATGTCGCGATGACCTTGGCGCCGCGAGAGCCAGCAACGGCTAGGCGGTTCGTGCTCGCGCCGTCCGCTTCTCGGTCGTCGTCCATCGTGAGATCACCATCCCTGAGTTCCTTGAAGTCCGGGTAGATGTCTGGCGACTCGAGGCGGTGGAGAGAGGCGCGCGCGCGGCGGTACTTGTCACGATGGTGGGCGATGTGGCCGTCGACACGCTCAATGATTTGACGAGCCCGCGTAGAGTCGCGCTGCCCGACGACGCCTGCATTGCGCTCGTTGATCAGGTAATGTTTTGCGTACATCTGCTCGCGGATCTTCCTCAACGCATCAGTGGCCTGCGCCACGCGCAGGCGTACCTCGATTCGAGCCAGGTCGTCCACGCAGCCTTCTTCACGTTCTTGATGTGTGAGGTCCGACGGCAGCCAGAGCTTGATGTCCTCCGCATTGGGTGGTGTGGCGTCAGCAGGGCGCGCGTCCTCCTCCGCGCGAATCTTGAGGACGGCGCCGGGCATATATAGTTCTTGAAGGTGTCGGAAGCGGGCCAGTTTCTTGAACCACGCAAGGCGAGCCTCTTGGACGCTGCGCTGGCGCTCAATTGCGGCGGTTGTAGTATCCTTCGTCAAAGCTGCGATACGTCGCCTATGATGACCGTAAGATGATGTAGGGTGACAGATGAAAATAAAGACTTACTGCTGGTCCTCGAGTTGCAAGGCGGCGACGATGAACGTCGTCTTCGACGTTGCGCGCATGGGTGCCTTGCCGTGCCGTGCCGAGTCTGCCTCCTCCTGCACCAACTGGGCCTTCACGGCTTGCTCTGAAGGCGGGGCTGAAAAGCGATTAATTACGGACACACGCAGGGAAAGGAGTTTTACACGTACCGGCGACTTGCGGCATGAATGGGTTCGCCGATGAGGAGTTTGCTTCGTATGCCGTGTACATGTTGCGCCAGCTATTGAGCGTGGCGGGCTTGAGGTCGCGCTCAAGATCGGCGAGCTCCTGCTTGCGTTGAAGGGCTTGCTCGCAGGCGATCATGTGCCGTCGTTCGAGGGTAGGGCCTGGAGCATGATTAGCCTGGTATCGGACCGTAATGCTACACCCGACTCACCGAAAGCAGCATTCTTCTGCATATTATGATGGCCAGTGAACCGCTCAATGGTGTCCTCGCGCACACCAGCACCCATCTCCTTGGTGGCATACGCGATGCTGTTCATCCCCGCCCATATCCGCTCGGGGCCTTCGCCGTCCGGCTTACCCGCGCCCTTTGCATAGCGCACCGAGTTGGCCGTCCTGCACGACAGCTCATGCACGTTGCCGTGCCAAACCGGAAGGCGTACGTCGATGGCGAGACGGGAGCCGGTGCCTCGCAGATGGTCCGGCATATCGTCGAGGCGCCTCAGGAGGTTGACCTTCCACTGGCATCCAATGTCGTATGTGACCATGACATTGTCGACGCGCTCGTTGGTGAGCGCGGACCAGAAAATATAATCCATATTTGCGTATCTGGAGGGCGATCAGATTGGTCAATGAGAATACCACGAGAACCTTACCGCTCGCCCTTTTGCAGGTCCCCAAATCCTGCGGGTCTTATGCACTCGTGCCGAGTACATGACGTTGCACCCGCTCCGGAGACACGGCATCCCGTCGTAAGCTTTGTGTTTTTCTCCAGGAGCGCAGCAAAGGATATACATGTGCTAATCTTATGAATGTTAGGCCTGCGAGGATGCGAAGGACAACATAACTTACATCCGCCTCGGACGCCGACCGCTTGACATGGTCCAGGTACTTTGTAGGCTCCACTATGCAGCCGAAACCTGGCCCTAAAGGGCCGTCTGGCCGTGCGTTGTGGCGCAACCGGTTTTTGAGGCGAAAGTTGGCGTCGTTGGACAAGAAGAGCGTGTGGATGAACCTACGAGGCATATTAGATACGAGAAATTCGCATAAGGGGGCGACTCACTTCGACTGAGTGTCCGCGTCGCGCCAGCCCGGCGGCATGTTCACGCCATCTCGCGGACACGCCCAGCACCGAACCGCCGCGCCTCCCTCGATAGTCCCTCCTATCCCAGCCTTGTCGTGTGCACGACCTGCCCTCTTCATACGCAGGAGAAACCCCCACTGACGCGACATCCGCCCGAACGCTTTGTAAACATCCTACAGTACTGTGAGCATACAACTTGGGAAGGCGGTGGTCGATAGCTTACCGGCATCTTTCCTAAGTGAAGGGCGTCGCCGGCGCGTTCGAGAGTCGAGATATAGTCGCGCACGTTGACGTTTGCGACGACGGCAAGAAGCTCGAAGTGATCAAGGGCCTCAAATGTTGCGCAGGTGTTCGGCTCCTGCGTAGTCGCCGGGTACCAGCCTTCGCGCAATAGTTGTTGCACGCGGGTCGTGTTCGAAGATCGGCTGCAGCCGCAGTATGAGATGGCGATACGGCTGATGCCGGTGGGTGAGATCAGCGTCATAGATGTGAGGGACGTGCGAGGGGAGGGGGCGGGGCAAGGGTGTCCTCCATGGCCAAGCTGATAGACAAGGCCGAGGTCGGTAAGGGTGATAGATTTGTCCCAATACTGCCCATTCCAGCGCTGTACGAGAATGAGCAATGGTGCAGATACCACGAAAGTGATGGAACACACATGGATTCGATGATGTGGTAGACACTCATGCCGCGTCAAACAGCAGCTCCCGCATTCCAGGAAGACACCGCAGGTGTCGCACTTGATTAGCCCCTTGGCGTCGTCAGGCGTCACACCGCAGGACACGCAACTTGCGGAATGCAAGTCGGACGCGAGACCTTCGTGGCGAACAAGCTCGTCGAGGAAGAGTTGTTGATACCCACGCCAAACGCGTGAAGGGTCATCCTATTGACTTTTTAGAAGGGGATGTGCCGAGGGTGTGATGGAAGCTTACCGAGTTGTAGTGCTTACGCTTTCCGGTAGTACATTCTACTACCTCTTCAGTCTCCTCGCAGGCAAGGCCCTCGCCCATGGTACGATGTTCATCGTACTCGTCGAGAACGCCGTCGAGCGGGCTGAGTGTGGTGGTGGGGGTCCAGTCGCTATTCGAGGCTAGCCGAGCGCGTTTTCGAAGCGGTACTTCAACTTCTGTGCGCCGTACGCGACGCCTGTCGTTGGAGAATAGGATACCCTCGGCTGGCGTGGTCAAAGGGCGACTTCGTGGTGGCACGTAAGTGCCGACGGCGATCGATTCGCGGGCGCGATACTGAGATTTATTGGCGCTCTTCTTCGACATTCCGAGGTTCAAAGAGTGGAAGTCTATGAAAGGAGTGAATTTGATAAAAGAAAGTGTGTTGGGCGTCGAAAGAACGAGGCTGAGTACTTGGGGGATGGGCGTCAACAGAGAACCTGGCTTGTTTGTTCCGGCTTGCTCGAAGTTCCCAAATTGGAATTCCATTGTTTTTCAGGGACCGCCATCACAGCTGTTCTCGAGGTCGTTCTCGTCTATCTTGAATAGTTTGGACACATCATGTACGTATATTGGGTACTCTATCTAAACCTTTTCGAATACCTCCAGCATCTTGGCGAGATCAGTAATGGCGCGTCGCCAGTCGCGATTCACATCAGCGCGATCGTGTACATCTACATCCGAGACCAATGCCTCACCGACCCATTTGAGGCAGACAATGAGGCTCAGCACGCCGTTGACACCCGGTACGTCCAGCTTCCCCATCCCTTCCCCGAAGCCATCAAAATCGTCCAGGCGACCCTTCTCGTTTTCCTCTCGCCACGCGGGGACGAGCATTACATACCACGCCCACCATGCGTCCATGAGAGCGGATGCGAACTTACCTGCCTTCCTGACAGGCTCGCATCCGGGGGATCGCCACCGGCCACCCGCTATCCAAGCGCTGACCTCCTTCGGGCGGCTCTTGGCACCCTCCAACCTTGAGCGCTTTGCTGGCAAACCATCGCCATAATGCCGGTGCCCTTCGTACCTCGCCCAAGCCTGCAGCAGCCGGACCCATTCGCCCCCTAGTTCGACGCGCAGAACTCCCATCGCGGACGCGAACCACGCCGCCGCCTCATCCGGCACGTCTGGAAATACCACCGCAAGGTCTTCGGAAGGTGCGTGTGCAGACGTTGCCGATGCAGCTGTACGCGAGGCTGTTGATAGGTGCGTTGTAGTATCGGTATGGGCGTCAGCAGGTGGGGCAGTTGTGGGTGGGGCACGGAGAGTAGAAGGCGCGGATGGGGTCGCTGTAGCTGGTGGGCTGCGCATGGGGGAAGGCGCGGATGCGACGCGCGGACCTCGGGTGCGTGCTAGCGTGGACATGTTTGTCGTAGGGTGGGGTGGGCTCGTGGTAGGCGGTGTGCTACTCTCCACGCCTGGATGGATGGTCTGCGTGTATGGCGGCGCGAGCAGCTCAGGATCGATGGGGATACCGGCGACAAGACTGACCCCTGCAGAGGCGACCGTAGTTGCGGGAGACTGGCCCGTGGGCTGAACAGCAGCACCTCCTTTCCGCGTCGAAGCACGCGTAGGTCGTGGCCGCGGGCGTGGCGGCTTCGCAGAAGGCGCTTGGGCGCTTTGCTCGCCAGTCCCAACGGCAATGGACGTAGCCGCAGGTACGCCACGCCCACCCTCTTGCGATACGACATCGCCGATACGTTGACGCTTGCTAGGCGGTTGCTCAACGTCATCCTCAACGCGCTCTTCATCGCCGCCGCCGCCCACTTCAACGCGACCACCCTCCTCGCCATCGCCTCCATCGCCGCCGCCGGTCTCCTCCTCCTCATTACCGCCCTCTTCCTCGCCGTTCCCGCCGTTCTCGCCGTTCTCGCCGTTCTCGCCGTCCTCACCGCTATCGAAGCGGTAGTGGGCATGGCCCAGAGGATCCTCCTCCGGCTCCTCATCCTGCTCCTCGTCCGTCCCCTCCCCTCCCAACGGGCCTTCTAGCGCCATCTTGGCGCACTCGTCGTCATCTGTGCTCAAAGGTCAGCATTGCCCGCGTGTATAGCCGTTGCAACTCACCCCATACTGTGGTCAGATATTCACCAAAGAGACCGAGGACGTCGCGGTGGAAACGTCTATTGTCCCACTCGCTGAAGTGGAGATCTTGCTTGTTCGTGCCGACGTCGTAGCTAGCAGTGACTTTCGGTAAGCAGCGTCTTCCGAGGATTCACGAAGGCATAGACTTACTGCTGTACAGTGACAATCCCGCCTTTCTTAGGCTCTCGGCCGCCAACCAAGACAAGCACATGCGCATCGCCGACGTTCTGGTTGATGCCGTCGAGGATGGGGTTAAGGAATGAGGGAAGCGCATTGCGCGCGCTGCAATTCTCGTAAGTCGCATTTCTACAGTCGCGGCAAAAGTTGACGCACGCTTGAACGTCCTTCGGGTCCCGGGAAGGCGGAGCGTTGATTGCCTTCTCCCAAAGGGCCTTCTCCGCCTCCTTCTCCGCTTGCGCGCGCTCTTTAAGCGCGCGACGCTCATCAGCGGGCAGCTCTTTGAAGAGCTCGCGCGCATGCTCCGATGTAAAGCCCACGCCCTTCTTCTTCTTGCCGTCGCTGATGACGCGACCGCCCTCAGACCCATCGGCCCCTTCGCCCCCTCCGCCTCCCCCTGCCTTCTTCGCCCTCTTTGCATCCCAGGCGCGTTGCGCGGAATCCTGCACGAACTCCGAATTCTCGTGCTGATACTGCTGCCAGCCTTGTCGCGCCTTCTTCGGTGCTCCGGACATCCCCGTCAAGCGCATCATCCACAGGACGAAGGCGTTGTGGAAGTCGCGCGAGCCCTTTGGTACGACGGGAACGACCTTGCGTGCGCGGTAGTTAAGCCAATTCACCACCCGCTGAAGACAATGAGCTGGCTGAGCGAAAGTTCCAGATGCGACGGAGACGCACCTTGTTTCGAATGACCAGCGCGGCGGCGCGCTTCTTCTCCTCCTCGTCCGACAGCTTGGGAAGCGGAGGAGGGTTCTCGTGGTCATACTCCGGTATGGTGTCGGGCTCTTGGTCGTCGGCCAAGTAATATGGAACCTTGTAATTCAGCTCGTGGCAGACCTTGACGGCGTACTCGGCGGCGGCCTTGCCTCCCTTCGCGAGCTCCTCGGTGTACTTAGGAAGGTGAGCTAACATGATGTCCTCACGCACGCCCTCCGCCCAGTTCTTCTTGTTCTGGCGATCCCCCTTTGCCATGAGCTGACGCTTGCGCTTCGCCTGCTTCTTGACCTTCAGCGTTTGGTATGAGATGCGCGCTGAGGAGTCCGAAGACTTGTACGAGCCGGCACCGGCAGGGGGAGCGGATGGTGGTGGTGGCGGCGGCGGCATTGGCGACGGTGTCGTTGACGTTGATTTTTGGGCGGGGGTGGGCATGATTGGGGGAAGGCAGGACGCGTCGCTCAAGCCGCCCGGGTGCTGTATCCAGGCCCACAAGATACTCCACGGAAGTAAAATACATTTCCGACACAAAGATCTTGATTTCTACTGGACGGATCTGAGATAACAATGTGCCAGCGTGACGTGACTTCCAGTTCGACTTCAAAGATTGGCGAGAACGATATCCTCAGCCCGCCTCAACGATCTCTGGTAGCAACAGACAGCAACTTTCATTAATGGGCAGCCCACAATCGAAAGGACTTCTATCGTACTCAGGTATAGCTGCACAGCTACACGATGCTCGTGCGCGCTGGCAAACGTAAGTACCTGAGCGGTTGAAAGTGAGCGGTGGCACAAACAGCGGCGGGACATGTGTTGGCGCCTGGACGATTATACATCACCCATTTTCCGTGTGTTCTGCATTAAAATAGCGATGAGCTTAACGGGCGCACACCTCGAGTCAACGTACATATAATCCATCTTGAATTGGTGATTCCGATTCTCGAATCAAGCACACCTGCCAGCCCCGCTTCATGAGCCTTGAATCCAAGCCCCAAGTAGAACCGAGCCTCTCAACATACTGTCACCTTGCCAGTGATAGTATCTTCACTTCGTGGGCTTATATCCTGATACTGGGAGAAGTCCGAATACTCGAAGTATCTTGCAAAGCACGCTCTGTCTCGCGGGAATCGGGTCGAAGAGCGCGACGAGTGGCAAAGCATCCTTTCAGGTTCGTGCAAAATTATGCACGGCATACTCAGATCGAGGCGGGTCGTAGTGATAATGTATCTCGCAGGATTTGGTGAGGGATCCTTGTACAAGTGTTCAAGCACTATTGACGCTTGCACTGGTGCGACCGCATCGTGAGCGACATATTTCTGACGCGCTTGTGTTGCGGATCGGTTCGAAGGGTTCATCACACTAGAGTAAGTACATGCCGGATAAACACGCAATTGTGGGGAAGTTGTAGTATCTAACAGATGCAGCTTGACGGGGTTCAATACGACTCACGAGGAAGGTACCTTCTTCAACTCAACTTCGTGTTGTGCCACAAATTCCACACCGGCTATTCACTCGAGTTTCGGATCGTGGACTCGCTCGGGCGAGGCGTAATATCAATGCGAGCTTCTACGTCTGCTTTAAGGGCAGCTAGTATACTAGGTACGCCTTCTCGCTACTAGCAAGTTTGGAAATGAGCTCGTACATACTGTGAGAATGTCAAAGATTGACATGACCTGCTCCTCTGCGCATGCATGAGCTCGGGTGCACGTAGGTCAATCGTGGTACGTACCAGTAGTAGAGCACGTTGGCATGCACCTCACTCCCCTTCTATTGACTTTTGTGGCCACAAAACATCGCGCTCACTTCGAAGGAAAGCTACACTGTTGAATTGCCAAACACGATACATGAGTCTCGTAGCAGTATCATACACTACACATCTAGGTCATCCCTGTCTTCGTCCTCCAATTCCGTCAGGTCAGAGTCCTCGTCTGCGTCCCCCTTCGCCTCGTGGCGCGCCTGCAGCTCGTCCAGGGTTGAGAACATGGCGAGGCCGCGCAGATAGCGCGTCTTGTCCTTCGCCGCCTCCTCCGCCCGGCGCTCAGGGCTCAGCCCAGCCAGGAATGCCTCCTTCGTCTGGAACTGCTGGTCAACCCAGCGGATGATCGCACCTGCCGTATACTGGGTGACGGAGAACCGTGTCTCGTTAGGGCCGACCGAGACGTTAGAGTGGGTTAGCAGGCCGGAGGGAATGATGATCGTCGATCTGGGGGGAAACTCGATGACCAGGCCCAACTCCCAAAGGACCAAGTGCCCCCCGCGCTTGGGGTCGTAGTTCCCCAGCGCCGTGATGGGGCACCAGCCCCAGGGAAGGTTAGCGTAGTCTTTGTGGGGGTAAGTCGCCGTACGCGGGCCGTAGTTGACGGTGGTGGCGGCCCACACGCTGGAGCGGAAATTGTGCCGGAGATGAGGGAGGCGGCTGCGTAGGATGCGGCGATTATCGCGGAGGTAGGTGTGAAGCTTAGGGGCCCACCCCTTGGTTGCGCCGTTGTTGAAGCCGGAGGAGCGGATTGCCCCTGGATGTTCCATGATGCGCCTGAAATGTGGCGCGTTCTTAGGGTGCTCGCTGATGGTCATGGGTTGCTGTTGGCCGCCGCCGTATGAGTGGCCGTGCGCGGTGGCGGGGAAGGAGCCGCGACGGTGCTCTTTCTGAGCAGACGTGAGCGTGAGGTGGGGGAGGGTTTCGTGAATGGTCTTCGCCCAGTCTTTCATGTCCTCGTCCCAGCCGGGGGAGTCATCGGGGCGGCCGGGCATGCAGCCGAAGACGAGCCTGCCGTTGGCGAGGAGGGGGACGGGCTTTCTGCGAAGAACATCAGCGGGACCAAAAAGTGAAACTGCAGCGGGCGCACCTGCCATTCCAAGGAACGAGGTTGAACTTGAACTTTGATTGGGGACCCACGAGTTCGTCCAGACGATACGGCCGGCCCTGCAGCGTAGCGTCGCGCATAGCAGTATAGCCTGTCCGCGTAACGCGCAGGCCGGTCAGGCGTATTCCCGTGCTGAGGGGCTCCGCGTTGTCGATGTATTTGCGGCGCGTCGACTCACGCACTTCAACGTCGGCCTCATCTGCTGCAGTGAGCTTGGCAGCCTCGCGCTTGCGCTTGCGGTGCTCGCGAGTGCGGCGCTTGGGGCGCTCGTAGCCATCGAATGTGCCACATGCACGCGCCGCAGCACCTTCTGGCTGGGGTAGGATTGCTTCCGCGGCGGCCGTAGGGCAGGAGCGCGCTTGCGCATCGAGGCCAGTGCAGTGGTCGGGGGTGCCGTATTCGTATTCGTTCTCGTCGTCGGACAGCTCGTCGCGTTCCTCCTCAACGCTGCGCTTCACATATTCGGCAAGGTTGAACTGAGAGTCGACGACGTCGATCGCTTCGCCGTCCCATATGCCAAACGAGTTGCCGGATCGTAGCGTGCGCCGCATGGTCTGTAAATGCAATAAGCATAGGGTCCATCGCGATAGGCAGCAAATGACGCGTAGGGGGAGGGCGGGTGCAATTTTCGGGGCGTAATCTACAGCCACACATCTGCTTCCGGTCTCCCAGGCTTGGGCGTCACGTACAACATCTGAGCGGCTGAGGGAAGGCCTGAAACAGGAAAAGGGAAAGGAAAGGGCTTCATTGCTACACAGTGAGAAGACCTTACTGGTGCTGCGTGGTCGTGGTCGTGGTTGAACGTTGAGGTCGTGGCGGCCATCAACAAAGAGCTCGACCCTGCGCGTGCGGTCACAAGACCGCACGTGACGAAGTTCAACTTCGGATTTCATCTGATGCTCCGATAACCCCTGGCGTGTTGTGCGCGACGGGCGTTGGAATACAAAAGCAGACTACTGATGAGATAGAGGAATCACTTGTTCTCATGGCTTTCCGGACTGCCTTCGTGACTCGCAACGCTGAGGGGAATAAGTGCTACTGGTCTTATCCCCCTGCCCCTCCTCGCTCCCGCGACAGGCGCGAGACAGCACAGATTAAATCATTACTTGTGGGTCTATCCATTCCGCTGCCGGACGACGGGTTTCTGATGGGCCGTCTAGGGTCTATTTTTCCCGATGCCTTCGGACCCAGGCGACCCTCGCGACTACGAGGACGAAAGTGAGCGGTGGCGCATCCGGGCAATTCATACACTACGCACGGAGCTGCGAACGAAGGTTTATGCCGCTTGCGATTGGGATCGTCCTAGGAACTATGCAGGTGACGACCCTATGGATCCTGTCATTGACTACGAGGCCCTGAAGGGTGAATCTGTTCTAATATCTTCTCAAACTCTTGACAATCATACTCATACTCCCTCTAGGCAAGCTGTCTTGCGTCTTCCATCTCAAGTATGGCGGGCAATATGGCGAGAACCTTGACTGGCCTTGGGAGGCGCACGCCCCCTTCAACTGGGCCCCGCATGACGCGGTACATGCTCAGGTCGCGGCGGGGGATGAGGTTTATCAGCGGTTTCTTGCCGCGGGTGGAGATCCTGTGCCTCAGCCCACCAGATGCTATGTAGAGATAGACGAGTAGTTGTTTTTTGGCCCGTATTGAATCCTCTCAGGGCTCGCACTCAGAGCTATTGAACAACTTCAAATAACGTAGTCAGGACTGGTCATACATGGGTAGTTACTCAAAGAAAAATGTACTCCGGCCGACGAAGAGAGCGGGCGCCGCTAATCGCACGCGCCGCGTGCCGCGTAAATTATTCGCGCCCGAGGAAGTCCGTACAATCCTACGGCATCTGGGGTGGGTAGGGGATCCGGTAATATGCGAGGCCACGGGTAGAGATGGTGCGGGTTGGGTCGCGGTGCCCTGCGCGGGGGCATCGTCAGTAGGCAGCCACTGCTGAACAATAGCGTAGCGTCGGCATACCTCTGTGAAGGGGCGGCAAGGGGGAGGGGTGCGTCTTGCGGGGTAAGGGGGATGCTGGTGATCTTGGCGGTTGCGCGCGCGCCCTAAAGTGAAGCACAGTCAGCGAGGCCGTTCTGTTATGCGTTGAATGGCCTCTCACCTTGCACGGGATAGTATACGTAAGCACGCGCGAGGGAACTGGTGATGGGGGCGAGCAAGTGTGGTGGGGTTGAATGTCAAGGCATCAATAGGTGTACCCAAGACGCAGGCGATTGGCGTACCTCAGTAGGCGGTCGGCCAGTAATCGGTTTAGAATTACAGAGCTAGTACCTCGACCAGTCCGTAGACCCGCCAAATAGTCAGCGGGGCGCGAGGTCAAGGCTTGGGATGTTCGACAAGTTAGCGGCGCTCTGTGTGCTTTGACTTTCCTTTTTTGGTCATATCGCCGGAGCACCGTCGCCATCGAGCGAGGGCGCGCGCGCGCCAGCAGGGCTTCTTCTCCCGGTGCCACCGAAATGAATAGTTGCAGACGTGTCCATATGGGTCGGGAATGCCGGCTAAGGGGGCGGGATTGCACGAAAAGTTGACGGAAAGGGATATTATGAACATCTCGGCTAATATCAGCGGTTTTAACGACGCATGACGGGTACGATCGCGCACCTAGGTGTATCTTGATTCATCTTGAAAGGGCAGTGGGCAGCGGATCCCTCGTGATGTCGTGCAAAGTCAGATGTTGGAGGGAAGGCGAAGATGAAAGAGTTAGGGCGTGTTGTATCGCAAGTTGACCGTCGGATATGCGCCCGCAGCCTCTGGAGACCACTCTTGCCCAGCCAGATACACCACGTATCTGCAAATGGGGGGTCAATAACATCCGTTGCGCTTCAAGCGAGGACGTACCCTCCTGGAATCAACATCTGCACCTGATTACGCGGATGGGCACGCCCTGTGATACTGGTCAGCAGAAAGAATGTGTCTAAGACGCTGGGGACGCACCGCTGGAGCCCGCTACACAGCAAAACCCGTCCCGAACCAAACGGAACGCGCGCATCGTCCCGCGAGCAAAGCCTGATATACACCCCAGCCCATCCCCGGGGGGTTCAGCGCGAGCAGGCACTGCCTGCAATTAGAGAAATGGTGTGCAAAGTAGAAGTCGAAGGAAGGACGCCGGGGTGCTGCTGCAACAGCGGCAGCGGCGGGTGCACGCTGGCTGGCGGAAAGGAAGGGCGATGACGTGGCGTTGCAATCAATCCGAACGCATGCCATCATTTCTATCCCAATGCAACTGCAGGCTGGCGAGCCAGCGAGCCAGCAGGCGCCAGGGAGGGAGGGCTGAGCCGGGCGGCGGAAAATCACCCAAACTGGCGGGCAAACCGGGCGGAAGGTAGTATTCAGCGGCGTATGGTACCAGCCGTCAATGGCTGTATACATGGCAAATGAAAACGACCGCATGGCTACATCCATGTACATTTGACATTATATTACGACCAAGGCTCCGTCCTCGGTCAGTTAAGGTGGATGGGTGACTCGGTGTTGTTACTGGGTCGTCGGGCGACTCGCAGTCGACTGCTGCCGCAGTCTCTTGGTAGGTAGTTGTCGGAGGGCGGCAGGGCGCTAATTAAGCTTTTGGCTCACGCCGCATGTTCCGGACATGCATGGTCGTTTAAAAGCCGGCCGTGCGCATCTCCCACGATTTTCCAACTTGTCTTGAACTACGACGGTACGTCGCTAGTACGCGCGTCCTGACGCGCCGGCCATACTGACGACGATCTAGAGATGACCGCCGGCAACGAAGGCCCACACTCGACGGTGCGCAAGGAGCACCAAGCTTTCTCCCGAAAGCTCCACCAGATCGAGAAGGATGCGCGCGCACTGCTCAAGGGCGAGGAACCCACGGTGGTGAACTTGGTGCGGGGGATCCAGCGCGATAAGAAGCGCGCGACGATCCTCAAGAAGAAGCTGGTAAGCTCCGTCGTGCAAGTCGTTCCCGGCGCTTGCTAACGCTTGTTTGTAGATATCTCTGTCCGACGCCATCGCGCAAGCGCGCAAACTGCGAGAGACAGGCCCCTGGGCGCCGACCGCGGCGATCCAAGGGGCGATGTTTTTCCTGTTCGACTGCCTCAAGGCATCGGACCCCGAGTCGAAGTGGTACGCGCTACAAGAGATCGCGCGCCCTCGGTAGGTCTCGGACATAGTTGAGTGAAGCCCACTGACATTTTCACAATCTAGGTATGTGATCAACATCGTGGGGCTCGATATCCCGACGCACGACGCGACACTGCGTGCCGCTGACCGCGATCGGGTGCCGCGAAGGGCGAACGAGGACTTGGTGAGCCCTCAGCATTTTTATGGTTTCACAGCTGACTAACTACCCGCAGGACATGCTGCTCATGCAGCAACCGCAGCTGCCTGCCGACTATGTCGCGGTCGAGGCAGAGCAGTGCGGTCTTGGCGAGGTCGAGCTGAGTGGGTGCGCTCCCGCGACGCCAGCCCAACGGAGCTATCCCGGGCAAAAGGCGCACAGGAACGACAAGAACAAGGGCGCAACGAAGCGCAAGCGCGCCGCCAAGGTACGTCCTCGTTTTATTTGATTATCTTAGGGGTTGTACAGCTGACACTTCAGCAGAGGAAGGTCGCCGCTGATTCCGACGACGACGAGGTCGAGGCCAAAGAGCCGGAGCCCGCGCGCAAACGCACGCGTTCCCAGACGAAGGCCGCCGCCACCACCTCGAAGGGCAAGGGGAGGGCGAAGGCGGGCCCGAGCTCGGCGCGCGGTCGGCGCGGCAAGAAGGCGACAACGCCTTCGGACATCGAGGAAGAGGAGGCGGAAGAGCGCCCTCAGCCCGAGTCCGAGGAGCGCGACGTTGTGCCGCCCGTCCGTTTCCGCGTGGACTGGGACCGTCGCCCGCGCGATGCGGACGGCGAGCTCTTGCCTTACGTCGAGACGGAGGACGAGGCTAGCGAGCGGCGCCATCGTGAGTTCATCGCGAAGGGGCCGGCGCCCATCTACAGGCTGAACGGTGACCTGCTCGGTCTCACCTCGCCGCCTTCCGAGGACGACGCGCAGATGCTCGAGGAGCAGGCCGAGGAACAGGAGCGCCTCGCCGACGAGGAGGAGCAGATGCTCCGCATCAAGGAGGAGATCCGCGCCCACAACGAGCAGCGCATGCTCGCGGGGTTGGGCGACGACGACGCGCCTGAGTGGCCGACGGCGGGCAGCTCGGGGCTCCAGCCTGGCTGGACCCACCTCCCGGACGCCGAGGATGAAGAGGACGGCAATGCGGGACACCCGGGCGCCGAGGAGGAGGAAGAGGAGCTTGAGGACGACGACGTCGAGCCCCCTGCTCTTCCCTCTCCCAAGCCCGCAGTGCCTTCGCGCTTCCCGACGCCGGAGTGGATGAGGGAGGGACCCTCGGGCGACCGTCCAGCGGAGTTGCTCTGAGCGCTCGGCCGAGGTAAGTCCCGCTTTAGTCCTTTTTGTTGTTTGTGTATCTTCGCTGACCCGAGTTGTTCCGTCATCTCTCTTCAGGTGAAAGGTGCGGTATCTAGCTCTGGATTGGCGAGGGCAATGCGCGCGACACGCGCTTTGATAGGTGGTTTCTTGGGACTCTGTACATTATATTTTTCTTGTATTTTCTTGTGTAAGGTCTCCCATGAAATGTACTTCTTGTTTCTTGGACAATTTAGGGTGATGCCAAGTGACATAAGAAGCGATAAATTGTGCTGCTCGACCGCCTTAGAGGTCGGACAATTGAACGCTGCTCGGCGGCGTGCTCGCGTGGTTTGCACGTGACCGTCGGCCACTGCCGGTTGTGGTTCGACTTAGCGAGTCGTGCTTGCTCGCAATAGCGGCGCGAAAATCTCCGTCGTGGAACGAGCTGGATCGGCAGCCTATCTCCCCCACACCAAAAATGTCGGCGACCTCGCCGGTGTGGAGTTCAGGAGCAGGTAGAAATTTATGAAATTGCGGCAGAGGGCGCGGATATCGCGTCCCTGACCGGCCGAACGGTCGTGATATAAGATCGGAGCGCGCTGGACAGATGAGTCCAACCCACTACAACGATTCGTTCCTTCATCTCCCCCAATGGCCAACAAATACCAGCGCGATCTCTTCGATCAGTTTCTTGCGCTTCTGCCTTCAGCTTCGGCGGCGCTCAAGACCGCGCTCCGCGAGGTCGCGCACTGCGACCTTCCCGCCGCCAGGAAGATCGTCAAGTATCTCAAGACACACGTGGAGGAGCTGCGCGCGCTCGATGCCAAGGTCGTCGAGCATTATGAGGGCAACAAGGAGAAGTTGGTTGCCGCGCTCGATGGGGTCATGGTGCGTGTTCGGATCGTCGCTGATCGCCTCCCATCTCACACTGAGCGTTGCAGGTCATCATGGACTTCAAGCAGGTCCATGACAAGCGGCCGATCATGGCCCACTGCCTGACCGTCTGCTACACGGCGACGGACAGTCTGGCACCCGGGGAGTCTGCGGACGACTTCTACCGCGGCCTGTCGGCCACGAAGCGATCTCTGCAGGAGATCGTCTCGAAGGTGCGTCGTCGGACGTTATTTTTCGTCTAACTAGACTGATTTATTGTTTTTCCCAGCTTAAGGCCGAGGAGACTGCCTCCAAGGACGCCGACGACGTCGTCATGCACGACGCCGACGCTTCCGCCGTGGCGGAGTCGTCGAAGGGCAAGGGGAAGGCCCGTCGCAACCGCAAGGGCGCGGCGCCCGGTCCCTCCGCTCCCGACGCTGCTGAGCCATCGGCCCCCATCGCGGACAGTCTTGCTGTCGCGGCGGAGTCTGGATCTTTGAAGCGCTCCGGATCACCTACGGAGGGCGACCGTCCTGCTAAGGTGCGTCCATCTTCTGCCGCTTATTTGTTGTGTGGGGCTAACCCAAGTTCCATCTCAGATGTACGTCTGGGACGCCTCGGCGTCCGGCTTCTCTCAGTACGGTACCCAAGGCCTTATGGTCGAGGGTATGTACGGAGCGAACCCGATTGCCACGGCGCTCGGGGAAGGTGCGAGTGCGATCTTCGATCGCGCGAACACCCTCGGACGCCAGTCGTACGGGGACGGTGAGTTCGATCTAGGCGTGGTCGTCCATAGCCTGGCGCAGGTCACGGCGGTCCTGAACGCGTCCGCCTTGAACCTTGGCGCGCTGTGCGCTGCACACACCGCGATGGACGGCACGTGCCGCACTCTTTCGAAGGTGTACCGCCGCGCGACGGCGCGCGAGGTCTTCAGCAAGTTCGACGCGGTACGTGGTCTGAATCGATGTGTTTGTAATGGTACTCATTCGAGTTTATAGTCGGACGACGAAGGCGTGCCGGGCTCGCGTCGCACCAGCCGTTCTACGGGCTCGGAGACGGTGCAGAAGGTCGACGATGAGGCGCGCGCGAAGCGCGATGCTTCTCCGGCGACCGCTGCACGCGCCGAGGCGGCGTTGACGGACGCTCTGGCCGCTGACTCGGAGGCTGAGCTGGACGACGCCATTTCCGAGGCTGGCAAGGCCAAGGCTCCTCAGGTCACCGAGGGAGCCAGCAATGCTGCTGAGGCGATGGAGGTCGACAACGTCGCCCCCAAGAAGAAGGAGGCGTCGCGCTCGTCCAGCCGCGCTGCGAAGAAGTCCGGCAAGCCCACCACGCGCTCGAGCGCGAAGGAGACGGAGGAGGAGACCCCCGCCATCGCTACACTGCCCGCTGCGTAGGCGGCATGGTCTGGATCGTTGACTTGCACGTATACCCAGTCACTCGTTACGTCCGACATTCGTTTTCCACCCGCTCTGACCCTTACACCGCCTGGCGTGGGCTGAGCTGAGCTTAGTTTATTTATTTTCTGTAGTCTCGCGATCGGGACGCGGCACCACACTCGTTTACTATCAGATAGCCGTGTACTTAGGACTGTGTAGTCGAGGCATACCCATTCAACGAATTTTTGTTTTGTTCTCACAAAGTCTGAGCCTGAAATCGCCTGAACCGGCAATATCAGAGCCTCAGAGAGCTCGTGGACATTGCGGTCATCAATCCAGACTGACTCGTGAAGAGTTGTACCCGGTGCAGCGCTTGTGCGTACACCTTTGGTGTATGGCCCTTATTTTGCCATTTTATTCATCTCCCTTTGCCCACCTGCGGCACGGACTTTCTCCGTAGGTTTGACGGCCCTCCGGGACCGGCGCTCGCCAGGTTCGGGAGTTGGAGAGGGTTCCCTGTCCGGGGTTTCATCGGGGGCGTCGTCCAGGAAGCCCGGACGCTCACTGCCTTCAACGCCTTCCGACTCGGACTGGTGGTCGTCGTCCTCACGGTCTCGACGGTCAAGATCGTCTCGGCTGTCCGATCGCACCTGCGCGTCGACTTCCGGCTCGTCAGGGAACGAGAAGTCAGGTGGGGGTTGCGCCGGCATAGCGTCGTCGATTTCCTTGAGGATTCCGTCGTCCAAGTCCGCGAGCCCATCAGGACTCACTTGGGCGACTTCGTCCTCGTCCGGCTCATCAGAGGCCATGAGTTTCTCGAGCTCGTCCGGAGACAAGTCGATTAATGAGTGGATTTCATCGGGCAAGGTTATAGAGGCCCGAGAACGGTAGGGCAACACTCTAAATGCTCCGACTTTATTTTGGAAGACGGTTCCGTCTAGTTCTGCCACAATATAAGAGCCTCCGAGCGTCCGCCGTATGACCACCATGGGCCCGTGGTAACGCGGTAGCATCTTGTCACTGTGCGATTTTTCTATGCGAGTATTCCGGACTAGCACCAAGCTGCCCGGTTTAAAGTCGAGCAACTTAATAACATGTCCGTACTCGCGTTCATAGCGGCGAAGACGCTCGAGCTTTTCCTTCTCTATTCGAGAGCGGACAAGGCCTACTTCCGCATGATGTTTCGCTAAGGCTCGGGCCCGGTACCCAACCAATTCCTCGCGCGTAAGTGTGCGCAGGGGATAGTCGATGAGCCAAGTTGCTTCAGCGATGTCAAATGGCAGGAGCGGATGTGCTCCTGTAACCAAGAAATATGGCGATACGCCGAGCCGCTTCCTTAAGGTTACGCGGTCGGCCCACCACACAAAGTGTAGGTGGTTATACCATTTATTCAGCTGCGGTCCGCAGGCTTTCGCTAGCGACTGCCGGATGTCCCAATGTACTTGTTCAACTTTTCCATTGGCTTGAGAGTTATAGGCCAATATGCGGACATGGCGGACACCATACTCTTTAGAAATCCAGCGCATAGCGGACTTCATAAGGGACGCATTATCGGTCACGATTTCCTCGGGACAACCCCATCGACAGAGTATTTCCTCGAGTATGAATTTAGCTATAGTGACCGCGTTCTCAATGCGAAGCGCGCGGCCTTCCAGCCAATTAGAGAGACTGTCCCTTGCGTGGACAATGTATTTGAAGCCTCTCGATGCGGGCGTCATATGCATGGTGTCTATGTGGACGACCTGGAATAAAGACGGCGTGAAAGTTACCACCGGCGGTATGCGCGCCAATGCTTTCAAGCGTTCTTGACACGGGTGGCACGTCTGTATGAACCACTCCACGTCTTCGTTCAGTCCAGGCCAATAGAACCGTACTGACAGTAGTTGTTGTGTCGCGTACACTCCTCGATGGCCTAAGCTATCATGCGCTTGTTGCAGCATTTCGATGCGCTTGTTTTGTGGCACATAGAGTTGTGGTAGCTCATCGCGTTCGACGCGATAGAGTTTTCCACCGGATACGACATAATTCCTTCGCAGCCGCTCGGCTATCGGAGCCGCGAGGTCAAAGGCGGACTTGTTTGTGGCAAAGTCCGGGTTTTCCACCCATCTGAGCCAGGTCTCGAGATCCTGATCAAGAAGTCGGTGTTTATTCTTCCGCGACGCGGTAGGATACTCCACAAGCTGCTCATATATGGAGAGGGGGTCGGGCGTATGGATCGTCATGCAATAATAATCGCTAGACTCTCCGATGATACGCCCCTCCGGCTGTAAAACGCGGAAAAACATACATAAACAAGCGATATATAGTCGACTTGGTCTAGATTGTATGGGCGGATCCGTATATACTGCACCGACGTCGCGACTGTACAACGGGCGCGTCGGGGGTATTTTATGACATAGAAAACCAGGAGCGCCACGCTTCCTAACCTTCAATACTACTAGTCCGCAGCATTATCCGTCTGCAATGACTGACCAAGGATAGCAGCGAGCTCTTCGGCGCCTGATCACGAGTCTGCGCGTCGTCGATGACATCCTGCGAGTCCTTTGGCGGGCCCTACTTAATCAAGTAGCCGCGCTATACGCGCCTCAAGCCTTCAGTCCTCTTGCCCTGCTGTGTCAAGAGAATCTAGATTATTGTTGGGGCTCGGACAAGCCTTCCTGCTGCTCACCGTCATGCGGAGACACGCAGAGCGCCGCGCAAGCGGAACTCGAACCATCAACGTGACTACACGTGACTTCGGGTCCGAGACCGGAACTTCGGGTCCGAGCTCGTGATTTCGGACATCGCCGAGTTGAACTCCGAACCGAGCGTCGGCGCTGCCAAGCGCTGTCCGCCCCGGCAAGGGCTTCACTCCCCGCGTATCGACAGTCTAGGCTGTACGCTCCCCGCCGCGCAGGCCTCTGAGCCGCGTCGCGCACAAGGGAACGGGTGGAAACCAGGCCGGCCTTGCCTTGGTAAACATCAACAAGTGTGGAATCGCGCCCGGCATCGCGGCGCAGGAGGATACCCGACCAGTCAACCGCTCTACCGCCAGGAACCGCAGTCATTGCGCGATTATTCGGACAGGAGAACGCGCGGATAGGCGTTATAGTTGGATTTTGACTCAGAGATAGGCATTGTGTGTTACCGCGCGGTCTGGACGGCCGAGACGACGCGTTCAAGTTATATACCGAGACCTACATACGATTCGGGGACTTTTCCCGCCCCGCGCAGAGAAGCCCTAGTACCTACACACCACACCAAATAAACACAACCGCGTTAACCCGCACTTTACACATCATAAAAACCTGAACTTCTGAGCGCATTAAACCGCCTTGTGAACTTCAATCAAACCCGAAAGCGCTCGTAAGAATGCCGAGACGTCCGATTGCCCCACTCGACTTCTCGCTTCAGTCCAGCTCGTCTGGAACTGGCATAAACAACACAATCTATCCCCTAGTAATATAAATACTCGGACTCGCCCGCTCTCGTAGCGCCTCCAGTCTAGCGTGTTCATTGCTATCGTGGTTGTTGGTGTTTGGTTGTGTGGATCGTCTAGCTAGACTGTACTTCACGTCTTTCGTGAGCGTACGATCCCATCACATGCGCTCTACACGCGACTCTCAAGCCTGGGAGACCGGGGGAACCATGGTCGGCACGATGGCGAGGACGTGGCGCGGGCAGTCGAGGCCGCCGCTTGCAATGCAGAACGAGGCTGGGGATGGATATCGCTGGTAAGCTCATCACCGTCACCGCTATCCATCGTGCTGATCCCATACCCAGCCATTCATTTTCTGCGATTCCCGAACCGCCGGAGGCACGCACGGGCCCCCTCGACAACTTAGTGAGATACCCGACCCCTTGTAGATACCGGGTGACCCGATAAAGGTGTGTTGAGATGCTTCCTCCTTGCCGTTGTGACGACTTCTGGACCATGCTAACTCGTCTCAGCAGCATCCCCTGCTCCTCTGATGTTGGGAACAAGGTTACTCATGCCCCAGCCACCTGTTTATCCGAGTCCCATGTCGCTTTCAAGCGAAATGAACGTATTGACGCTATTTTGAAGTCGTTTCCTACGACCCCGAACCACCGGAGGCACGTGTACGCACCCCTCGAGCGAGAGAAGCAAGCGTGAAGGCCTCCACCCTCGCACCTCATTCGCTCAGGCTCAGTGGCAGTTCGCGCCAGAATTTGGGCGTGAGTCTGTGAGTAATTGGTGCTATACACGAGCTCAACCCCGCGCTCCTGATGCTGACTTTGTATCCTTGTCGATTTATCGACTGCCGGAGGCGCGCGCGCGGGTTCCTAGGCAAAACAAGCGAAGAGGGTGATACCCTCACCCCTCTGACGGCCTTCGCGCGGGGTCAGGGAGGGGTGCCTCGTGCTCATTCATCCAGGAGGGGCTTGAAATTAGGTGAGTCGCTCTGACTGAAGTTGTTGCTGACCCCTTCGTTCACGCGATTTTCGTTGTGCCCGAACCGCCGGAGGCATGCGCGTGCTACCTCGGTGAAGAATGCGGCAGGCTTGGGATACCTCCACCCTCGCGCGGGGCCAAATGGAGGTGCTGCGTTGCCGATGGCGCTTGATTTGGTGAGTTGCCTCGCCAAACTCGTGGATGCCATACTGACCCCTTCGTTTAGGCGATTTTTGCAGACCCCAGACCGCCAGAGGCATGCGCGCACACCCTCAGTGAAGGATGCGGGAGGGGTAGGGCACCCCTTACCCCCTCATGGCGAGCTCAGAAAGGCCATGGGGCACCCCAATTGTCGAGGGAAGCTCTTTGCTCATCCCACGACGAATGTAAAGGCAACAACGAAGCCCTCGCGTGCTGATCCACGCGAATGAGAAGCTCTACACCTGCGAAAGAGGCACGTCGGGACCAGGTAAGTCTGTCGCGGCCTTTGCGATGTCCAGATGACTGACCAACTCTTCAGAACTCAGCAATTACAACCCTTTCACGCCGACGTGCCGCCCTTCAAGACTTCCGAGAACGTCATTTTTGGCGAGAAGGAACCCCCCTTCCCTTTTCCCTCCATTCATGTCGTCGCGCTCAGCCCCGACGCGCTAGTTCCTCGACGACGCCAGAAAACAAGCAAGGCGTCGCCTCGAACGAGCCTACAACACGATGATGGCACGGGAAGAAACACATGGAGCATGCGGGATGCGCCAGGGGGCGCCTGCGCCACCCCCTCCTTTCTCGTTTCCACCTCAAGAACCATCGAGGGGAGTCACCTGGAGGTCGGGGAACAACTCTGTGAGCTCGCCGTATCTTTCCTTGAGGTGTGGCAAGGGCGGGGAATGCGATACGGAAGGAGAAGGGGGTGGTGTACACGCAGAGGGCGAGCTGCGAGGGGTGGGGGGCTCATTTGAGTGGAAGAGGCGTGGTGTGAGGGAAGGTACGAAGCTGTTTAGCAAGTCGTACTCGCTCGAATTAACACGATCCTGCCTTATTACGGTGAGGAGGGGTCAAGGTCGAAAGAGAGGGGGCACTTAATGTGTGCGGGGGCTCCCACCACGTCAAGGAGTAGTCGCGCGACGTCTACGAAGGCGCTCGGCACGGGGTACGAAGGCCCGACATCAATCTTCGGGATAAGGACTTCAGTTCGAGGAGAAGGGGAGGGAGGGCACCTGCTTCCGTCGTCGTACGTACTCTAGGCTTACACCCCACGTACGTAGACTGCGAATATCATCTATTTCACCCCATCCCCACCTTCGCCCGAGTCAACAAAGATCGAAATGAGTCGAGTGGCACAGTTGCCACAATTGTTGAGTTGGCCAAAATGTGCTGCGCCCCCTCGCTTTTCATCAAAGAGGGGCTTGCTGCACCTCACCCTCGGGATTACTGCCCCTTCCCCACTTTCTCCCTCTCTTCCCCTTCGTTCTACTTGTATTGTCTTTGCTCGAGCGATGCATTTCACTCCCAAACTCGGTAGGTGCATCCTCTTCCTTCCCCCTCCTTCCCTCCCCCTCCCTGCGCTTCCTCACCCTCTTAACCTCTCCCATTCGCTCTGCTAGGTCCTTTCTATGTAATTCTACCTTGGTTGTTCTCCTTCTCTCCCACCCCACCTCACGCTCCCTTGCCCCCTTATCCCCCCATCAATCCCTTCTCATTTTCACCCGCCTTCACCCCTCCTTCTCACTCCCTTCCTTCTCGTCGTCTGTTGGCGAACAAAAACGCGCGAGTGCGCGAGTCTGCGCGTCGTCTCCCTTCCCCTTCTCCCCCTTCTCCACTCCCCTCTACTCCCCTTCTCCCCTTCCCTCGCCCCCTCGTCGTCTCGCGTCTTTAGTCCCTAATCGCGCACCTTGGATCTCCTATCTGGTACATAATGATTGCGCCCACGGATATCAAACATCCACTGTGGTTTTACCTGGCAGACACCGAACAAGTGTTCAAGCCTACCCTACATCACATGACAAAGCAGCGGGTCATTCCCAACTCACCGCCCCTCTGAGTCTAAGTGTATTCTCATCGAAGGTTCGGCACCCCGCCGCTTGCGGCCTTTCCCCCCCTGATTGAATGTAGCGGATGAGAGCAAATTTGGGCACAAGGGCTCCCTGATATGGGTTTCATACAAGAGTGGGTGTGGTGACTAGGGTAGGGGGGAGATATCGCATTGAAGCGCAGATATCGATGGGGTCTTCTATGGACACGCTAAGGGCTGCGGAGAAGCTGAGGGCATGCTTTTTCGCAGGGAAATATTGCGAGAGACCTCGGCGAAGGGGAGAGGCGCATGAATTGTGCTTAGAAAATCCGGGGACTGAATCTGAGCTGGGCAACGTGATGAGCGATGAGAGGGGGAGGGGAAGATGATCGGGATCAGGTGGATTGCGGGGGCAATATGCGAGGATGTTGCCGACACGGTCCTCGCACGGTTCTCCTCCTGCTTTCATGCTCGTTGACGCATACCCTCTCCTCTAACCCCCAGACGCTGCTCTCGGCTTCCCCCCTGCTCTCCAGCTGTCACGTAAGCGCACACGCCGCTTACATCGGACGTACGGCTCCCGACGCTGCATTGTCCGCCCCTCTTCAAGAAGCTGCGCTAAGACGGGCGCGACATCCCTCCCACTGTCCCCTCATTTCTACCACGCAATCCTGATGGCGACCTCCGACGGACGATACATGTACACTGGCCCCTCGAATTCGTACGGGTATGCCTACGGCCACGAAACTTCCTCCTATGCCCGCAACGCCCGCGCCGTGAGTGGCGGCGTCCACCCTTCGAACGCGCTTCAGCATCCGCACCATTACTCGGCTCCTGCAGCCCAGCCCCAACCTCAGCCTCAGCAGCACACCGGGACACTCCCGCCACCCCCATCCGCGTACGCCGCTCAGCAGCCCTACGCCCACTCCCAGCACCCCCACCCCCACCCCCACCAACAATCTCGCGCCCAAGCATCATCGCAGCAGCGCGCCCCCGCGCCCCCACATGCCCTGTCCGCAACTACCCACCAAGCTTCGCAAGCACAGCAGCAGTACGTTTCGCCCTCAACCGCGGCGCCTGTTTCCTACTCCACATACGGCTCCGTAAACGGGGGCAGCGTACGCGCGAACAGTCCCCCCTCCCCTTCCTACGACACGCAGCAGCGCCCGCCGTACTCCACGCGACCCGAGTACGAGGCACAACGGCCCGCTTACGACTCCTCACGAGCGAGCTTCGAAGCGCCGCGGACGAGTTTTGATGCACAGAGGACAAGCTTTGATGCGCAAAGGAATGGCTACGAAGCACCGAGGAGCGCGTACGATGCCTCACGAGCGTCGTACGAGTCTCAACGACCGCAGGAAGTAACACGAACAGTGGCGCCGGGGTACGAGTCCTCGCGGCAGTATGAAGCTGCTCCGCGGCAGATGTTTGACCGGCAGGCATACGAGGCTCAACGACAGTCATACGATGCGTCGAGACAGCAGTGGGGATATGGACAACCCTATTCGCAAGGACCGCAGCCGCCGCAGCCTGCCCAAGCACCTTCAACGAACCCCGCTGCGTCGACCAGTGCCTCCTACCCATCTACCGCACCGCAGTCATCCAGCGCATCGTACCCATCGGGAGCCCCTCACCCGTCGAGCTCTGCGTACACTTCTAGTGGCTCCCACCCCGGGCCTTCTGGTGCGCCTCAGCCCGGACCTTCTAGCGCCTCGCGCTCGGCCAGCTCTTCGCAGGCGCCCACTTCGTCATTGCAGCAGGCGTATCCCGCAACATATCCCACCCCGGCAGTGCCGCCGCCCGAGCCGTCACGCAGCAGTGCCACGCGGGGCGACTTGACGATGCGGGGCGAGACCTCGATGCGAGTCGATCCCAGTATGCGCGGTGAGACCTCGATGCGCGTTGATTCGAACGGACATCGTCCTCCTCCGAATGGTTATGGGCCATCATCCAGCGAGCAACGTGCCTCAATAAGTGCCCAGCCGCTCGCAAACGGTCAAAGATCTCTATCGAACGGGCAACGCGCGTCAGTCAGCTCGACAAGACCACTAGCGAACGGTCATGCACCAAGTAGTAGCCAACCGCCGCTGGTAAACGGCTACTCGCCGCCAACCATCAGCCATGCTCTCCCCGACGGGTACCCGCCAACGAATGGGTACTCACCTCCAACGAATGGACACCCGCATATGAGTGGACATCCGTCATCGAATGGGCGCCATACGATGGACTCGCCACCAGCGAACGAACCGTTGACAGCAACCGGACACCCTTCGACGAACGGACATCAACCGGTCAACGGACACGCTTCACCCCCGCCTCCACCTCCGCCACCTATGAATGAGTACGCGCGAACACCATCACCGAGGATTCAGATTGATTACCAGAACGTACGTCTCTGCTTCCCTGACATTTACTTCTACGTCTCCTTCTCCTCATGAAATTGTCTGTTCTCCGTCTCATCCGTTTCGAAACTCACGCTCCCCCCGCAGCTCCTCCAATCCTGCCGCGTCGTCCTCGACGGCGCCCGCGCCCTCCAATCCGACTTCACCGCCGACGTCCACTTCAAACCGCCCATTGAAGCCCTCGAAACCATGTTCGCCGCCGCGCATGCGAACGTGCGCATGATGCGCGGAGAGCGGGGCGTGCAGTGGGAGGTTGAGGTCAACCGGGTTGGCGCGGGTGTGAATGGGAGGGAAGGTGCTGCGAACGGGCGAGACGGTGGCGTAAATGGGCGAGACGGGCGGGAAGGTGCAGCAGTTGGGCGAGAAGGAGGGGCGCCACGAAATGGACGGGAGCCCACGACGCCGGTGAAGGTGTCCTCGTCGCCAGAGGTAGCGAAGACGGCGTTGCCGGAAGCGTCAAGAGGGTTGCCGCCACCCCCGGCGGTGGGGCAGTCGCAACTGATTCATGCGGTGGAGGGCGAGGGGCAGACGTGTTTGGGCTGCGACGCGACGACGACGCCGGAGTGGAGGAGGGGGCCGATGGGTGAGTGCGCTTGCTACGATTCTGTATTATCAATTCTGGCGCTCCTTCGTCGCTACGCTGCACGCGCCCCCGCCAATGTGGAGTATGGGCATGTGGCTGTGAATGCTTACAATTTATTGCAGGACCGCGAACGCTGTGCAACGCTTGCGGATTGGTGTACGCGAAGATGGTGAAGAGGCGCCAGAAGGCGGAGGGGCGGGAGAAGCAGGACATGTCCGAGAGCGACGAGGAGGACGGAATGGACGTGGACTAGCGCGCATCTGGGTCTCCACAGGATTTACCTTCCCCTCGTCGTCTTCTTTCTCTCTAGGCTGCCTTTGGTTCGCGCACCTCGCTCGCGAGTGATCCTTCCCTGGCACGACCTCTATACGAACGGCTGGTGCATACCGTCGGACGGTGGAACAGTATTTTCTCGCGCCTACACATATTCTACGATTCCAGTGGTACTTCGGTTTGGTCTGTATACACTCGTCCTCGCTATCAGCCTGTCCTTCCACGAGCTTCCTTTACGATTCTGCGTTCATCCGTCTGCTTCGTTGTCTGTTTCGCCCTCTCCTGTGCCATCTTACCATAGTACATACACGCTGTCATCTCTTATTATCTGCATAAACCTACTGTCATACTTACTTCGTACTTACTACATACTTCGCTCGCCCGATACCCCATCTGTTGTCCAGTACATACATACATACCAAATTTTTTGCACGTCTTGACCCGATCCTTTAACTGCTTTCCCATGTTGCAACCTTTCTCGGCTCGCTTTTTTCGTCGCTGTGCTTTTCAGCAGAATACGGTCCTTCTGAACTCTTCATCCTTGCATTTACTGCTTCGCTGTTGTGGGCTTGCGGCTTTTGAGGGGCGTAAGCTCATGGGGAGGGCATCGGAGATTGATAACCCACTTGCAGCACCTCGACTCGATAGCTAAGTGGTTATAGCGTGGGATTGCAGATCCTAAGGTCCCGTGTTCAAATCACGGTCGGGTCTTGTGCTTCAACTGGTTTTGTATTTTTTGCCGATGCATGTCAAAACGATGCTATGGCCAGAGCTCAGAAAGCTTCACAATCAGAAGGTTACCTTGTAAAGTCCTTTCAAGATGGCAGCTGCTTGTTATGGGGTCACGACACTTCTCATGGGGCAAATCTCGTTCTACAGCCCTTCGACTGAAGATGTCCATTATAGCTTGACAGAGTCTGAACCACTGCAGCTGCTAAACAAAAAGGATGGTTCGTCCTCACAAGACCCGACCGTGATTTGAACACGGGACCTTAGGATCTGCAATCCCACGCTATAACCACTTAGCTATCGAGTCTCGGCGTATAGCGCCGACAAGTAAAACCTAACCCGCGTCTGATCGTGAGAATGCAACCAATGTGGCGTCGGACCCGGTGTTCGCGCATTGTTCTCGCGCCGTCATCACTAGCGCCAGGCCACTCGCCGCCTGCTGCCCCAAACCTTCGACCCGCGTCTCTCCTGCACCGCAGGCTTGCTTGCGCGTCTGATACCCAAGATGATGGTCGACTATAACCGCACCAGATTCGTGGACGTGAGTGAATGGTCTATCGACGCGTTCTACATTGTACTGACCGTGTTCGTGAATCCCCTCACTGCTGTATGCTTGATACTTCTGGTCCCCCTTCCGTCTGCATTGGCGCGCATTCTCCTTCCCTACTTCGCCCTTCTCTTGGTCTCATTGTCGGTGTCGCAAACCTCAGAGCCTACTCGAGAATAACAAGGACCAGCCGCCGTCCTTCAAGATCCATCTTCACGCGGAGCACTGGAACCTAAATAACGGGTCCAAGTTCCTGTACAACAACCAGGTTGCGGTACGTGATCCGCCCCCTCACTCGCCTACGCTCGCTGACACTCCCCTCCAACCTGTTCCCCTCCCCGATCACTCCTCATTTCATCCCCTTCACCATCTTCCAAACCTAGTCCCTCCTCGATGATATCCGAGAGCACCGCATACCCGCCGACTTCCTCGGCCTCTTCACCGAGAGCAACGTCCCCTTCTACGAGGGTGCGCCCCATACGCCTCTCCATTCCCCCGCCTTGTTCTCACCTCAGACCCCACCTACCCCAGGCTGCCTCATCGTCGAGCTCATCGACTACCGCGTGGGCGCGCAGAAGGACATCGCCTCCACCAGCAAGCAGCCCATCGCCTCCACCTCTACCTCCGCCAACCAACCGACGACTGCTCCCCTCGTCACCCGCGTGGTCTTATTCCCGACACCGGAGACGGTGTATACAGATATTTGCCTCCTTGGCGCGCGATACGGCGCGCGGTGGACGGACATGGACGCGCTCGAGGCGGAGGCTCGGATATTGGTACGTTCCGGTGTCATCGCGCTCTCAACCCCCGCTCTATCCCATCGTCATACTAGCCTCTTTGCACTGCCTCCTACTACGGTCCTTCGTATTGTCTTTTCTAGCTCCGAGGCGCCCTTCTTATCCTCTACCTCCCTACCGTCTTCCCTTATCTTCGCTCTCGTATCATCTCTATAATCTCCCTTCCCCCTCACCTCCCTTCTCACTCACCTCCTCTCCCCCCTCGTCCCCCCTTCCCTCATCCACTAACCACCCCCCAGCTCGCCACCGCCCCACCCCTCTGCCTCGACCCCGACCCGCACCTCACGCGCGCCGTGAACGCGACAATGAAGGTGTCCACCCCATCCACGCCCACATCCCTCAAACGCAAGGCGAGCGCGGCGCTCGACGCGGAGGACGCGCGCGCGAGACGGGCGAAGGTGATGCAGTTCATGAAGCCCAGGGAGACGTTGAGGGCGGGGGGTGGGTGAGTGGATTTGGTTTTATTGATGTCGTCTGATTAGGCGCTCGTCTGGTTAGGCGCTGACGAATGTAACCCTCGCAGACACCGCCTCTTCGACGCCCTGCAGCGCGTGCGCGCGGGCAAGTCGAACGCGGAGGACGAGCAACCGCCACCGACCGCCGCGGCTGCACCCAGTACTACAACCACGACCACAAGCAGATCCCGCGGCGCAAGCGCGCAACCGGGGATCACGATCTCGAACTCGCTGTATGCGGGACAGCCGCCGCCGAATTATGCAGGCCAGCCGCCTCAACAGAGCGCGCCGCAACAGCCAAATACTTCACAACAGAACGCGCCGTATGCGGGTCAGCAGGCACACGCGGGCCAACCACCAAATACTGCACAACAACAGAACGCGCAATATGCGGGCCAGCAACAGCCGTACGCCGGACAGCAGGGATACGCGGGTCAACAGCCCGCGCCCGCAATCCCGCCCACCATTGCCGCCAATCTTACGCGCACGCAAACGCCGAATGGGCGGGTGACGCCGAATGCGGTGAACGGGAGGACGACGCCTGCAGTCGTCAACGGGCGAGCAACGCCTGCGGCGCCGAATGGGGTCGCTGTAAATGGGCGAGCGACGCCGGCCGTTGTAAATGGACGCGCGACGCCTGCGGTGGTGAATGGGCGAGTGACGCCTGGTTTGGCGAACGGTAGGGCGACGCCCACTATGCCAAATGGTGTTGCTGTCAATGGAAGAGCGACACCGGCTGTGGGGATGGTCAATGGGCAGGCGGTGGTCAACGGGCAGGCTGTGGCGAACGCACAAGCTGTAGCGAATGGGGTCATGACCCTGAACAGCCAAGCGATGGCGAACGGTCGTCAAACGCCACAAACAATACCAACCGCGACGCAGCAGTTCCTGCACCAGCAGCGCGCGGGGCAGCAGCAGCACTTGAATCCGATCCAGCAACAGCAGCATGCGATCCAGCAGCAACATGCGCTTCAGCAGCAGCAAGCGGCTCAGCAGCAACACCAACAACACGCGCATCAGCAACAGCAGCAGCAAGCGCATCAGCAGCAACAGCAGCAACACCACCCCACCCAACCCCCCGCAGGCAACGCGCTCGGCCTATCGGACGCACCGCAGCGATTCGCGGGCTCGCCGCCCATACAAGGATCGCCCTCGCAAGGCTTCACCGCCAGCCCGCAGCTACAGCGCACCATGGCCGCCGGCTCGCCACCCATGCAGGGCTCACCGCGCCAGGGCTTCGCAGGCTCGCCACCACAGCCGTCGCCGCAGATGCAGCGCGCTTTCGCGGGTTCGCCGCCCGTGCAGAGCTCGCCGCAGCCGCCGTTCGCGGGCTCGCCGCAGCAGCGGCAGTTCGCGGGGTCCCCGCCCGCGCAGGCGACGCCGCAGATGCAGGCACAGCGGGTCCAGCAGATGATGGTTCAGCAGCAGCAGCAGCAGCAAATGCAGGCGTCCCAGCAGCAACAGTCCCAACAGCAGCCTCAACAGCCCCAGCCCCCACAACAACAACCCGCATCCGGACCCCTCCGCCCGCCCACGCAGCAACAAGTCGCCGCCGCGATGCAGGCGATCCAGCAGCAGCACCCGCAGATGCAGATCCACCCTCAACAAGCACCGCTCTTCGCGCAGTTCTACGCCGTGTACACGAGCGCGGGCGGGGACGCGCTGCTGCGGAGCGCGGAGGCGACGATGGGCTTCCTGCAGCGGCACCCCGGGTGGCGGACGATCCCGCCGTCGGCGAAGACGGGCATCTCGACGAAGGTGGGGGCGGCGGTGGGGAATCTGCAGGTGCTGTGGCAGATGTGGATAGGGTTGACGCGGCAGGTTCATGCGCAGGCGCGGGGGCAGCAGGCTCAGCAGCAACAGGCTCAGCAGGCTCAGCAGCAGCAGGCTCAGCAAAATGGTCAGCAGCAGCAGCAGGCAGCGCAAGCGGCTCAGGCGCAGCAGCAAGCAGCTCAGCAACAAGCCGCGCAGCAGCAGGCGGCGCATCAGCAAGCGGCGCAACAGCAGGCTCAGGCAAGCCAGCAGCAGATGCAAATTCAGCAACAGCAACAAGCCGCGGCTCAGGCCATTCAACAACAGCCACGCCCTCCGAGTCAGCAACAACATCCACCCGCTCAGCAAATGCAGCAGCCGCCACGTCCACCTACCCAACAACCCCAGCAGCAGGTCCCGCACCAGCAGCCGAACCCGCAACCTCAGCAAATCGCCCCAACGCCGCAACAGCAGCTCACGCCTGTTCAGCACCAGCAAATGCAACAATTACAGCGCAACGCCGCCTATGCGCAAGCCTCACCCGAGCAACAACGGCTTTACATGCAGCAGTACATGCAGATGTACGGGCACAACGGCGGCGCGCCCGTCGTCTGGGCGGTCCCGCAAGGCGCCCAGTACACCATCGCGGCCGCGGGGCGGGGCGCAGGGCAGCCAGGGCAGGGAGCGCAGATGACGCAGGCGCAGGCGGCTCAGATCGCGCAGGCGCAAGCGCTGGCTCGCGCACAGGCGGCGGGGCGCGGGCAGCAACAGCAGCAGCAGCAGCAGCAGCCGACGCTCACCCAGCTCCAGACGCAGATGGCGCAGGTCTCGCAGATGCACCAGCAGCAGAGCGCGCAGGTGCAGGCGCAGTACCACCAGGCGCAGGCGCAGTACTCGAATATGCAGCCGCAGGGGCAGCACGCGCAGCCGGGGCAGATGCAGTTCACGCAGCAGCAGGTGCAGCAGATGCAGGCGCACGCGGCCCAGCAGCAGATGATGATGCGCGGGGCGGGCGTTGCGGGGAAGATGGCCATTCCGAGAGGGAGGGGGCGGGGGATGTAGCGCCTTAAAGGGGGGGGGGGGTAATTGTGAGCAACTCAGGTATTCGGGGAGGGCAGGGCGATCACACCACGAGCTCTGGCAATGCTTTGTATCATATCATGTTCTGTATTTATCGCGTTGTATCGTAGGGATGGATGTGGAGGCTTGCAATGTGTGTCCGAAGATTCCAAGTTCTGCTTTGGACTTAGTCTCGAACCAGCCGTTTCGTCGGCTTTTTTTGGCTCTGTTTACAGCCACTGTTTGGGTGAATAGATGAACCTTGTACGGCGACGTACAGTTTACGAGACCTGCTTGCAGGATCATCTTGCCAACTCAAAACTCGCTGCGTCAGGCGGCACAGAAGGCACAAAAAAGATGGGTATTGTAGCAGTACATCGACGACGACAGACAAGACACGCTTTAGGCGGAAGCGAGCAGCCAAAACAAACATTACGACAGTGTCAATTTCGTAGTACACATTGCGATAGACTAACATTCGTAAAAGCCCCAAATTAGGATCACGTATTGCCTATGCTGGAGATGAATAATAAATCTGGATATACGGCCATAGGCCAGGGCGGCCAAGGTGACGTACCAACGCTCAGCTCAAGACATGGACGGAAGCAGTATCCGTCGTCTCTTTTAGCTGTCTTCCCTTGGTTATCGAGTCCTGACAAAGAAAGAGGTCAGTTTGATTGTGTTCCTCCATCCGGAGACTCAACGATACGTGGACGCACCAAGGCTCGGATCGGCCGTCATGCCCAGGACGTGAGCGATGGCCGCCATGGCCTTCATGTCGCTTTCGCCAGATAGGCCTAAGCAATCGGCAAGGGTCGCAAGCTTGGCGTTGACGAGGGTATGGCGCACAAAAGTCTCGGGCACGAAGGAGATGCTGCGCAGGCCCATCAGGACCGTTCGGCCTGCCTCATCGACGCCAAAGTGGCTCTTGTCTAGATCGGCCTGCGTGCAGAGGAGCCGTTCATCCCTGAGCGAAATGGGATCGACGCCCTGGCCGTGCTTATAAAGCTTCGTTCGGCCCTGTTCTCGGATGGCATGTCAGCGGACGACGGGCATGATCACTGATCAGGCAAGAGACACGCACCTTCTCGACGTAGCGCTCGAGGGCCTCGACGCTTTCGAACGGCAGAGGCGCCTCCTGGCCGTCGAAGAAGGCGTGTCGGATGAGGCCGCCTCCTAATGGTCCGAGCTTGTGGCCGGGAGGAATTTGCAGCCCCGAGAGCCACGTCACCACGGCGGCGATCCTCTTGTCAAGGTCGGCAGGAGATTTGGCGAGCTTGACATGCTCCAGAACGACGTACGCCGTGCCCTGGCCATTGTCGAAGCGATGGATGAGCTGGGGGATACGCGGTTTGTCGGGTCGCGGTTCGGAGCTGGCCAGGAAAAGACGCATCTTGACGCTGTGAGCGAGAACGGCTGGCTCGCCATATTGGACAAAGTACTGATTGACAACGACGTATCCGGCCCTGCGGCGACCATGCTGCACCTGGTGCTCTCTGCAGGCAGCGACGATGGCAGCCTCCATTTCGGCGGACAAGGACAGCATTGTGTGACTTTGTAGCCGTGGAGGAAAAGAGAAAAATGGCAAACGAGGCGTATGAGGTTAAGACCAGGACGAGTCCTGCTAGCTGCACTTTGGGTTTGGGTTTGAGTTTGATTTGAGTTTCGCCTTCGCGGTGGATTGTGTCCCGTTATGGTCTCGCGTGACGCGGAACGCCGCAGAGTCTGAATCAGTCTCGGAGATGACGGATACGGTCAGAAAAGTTTCCACGAAAGTTGGGGTGCGAAGCCCGCCTTCATTGGGACCAGACTCTAGTATCAGAACGACGGTCACTCATCTGGACTGCTAGAGTCGGGTCCCAAAACCAATGGTTGCGTATCCCTGACAAGAGCGCTGTGACGGCGCGATCGGCTGCGTATCCCCGGCATGGGTGCTGTAACGTTGCAATCGGTGCGCATATCCCTGGCAAGGGTGCTATGCGTGGTGAACGTGTCCCGGGCAGGGTGTTACCGATGACGGTGGGAGTTCAAGAGTAAAAGTGGTATATTTGTACATGTATGCGGCTGACGGTTGGCCTTCGGCTCTTGCCGGTTTGCGCCTACACCCTCACCTCGCCTGCATTGCTCAATGCTCATCCAGTGCACAGTGGTCTTCGAAAGCGCTGTATCTACGTTGTTACTCACCGAGAGACCACAAAGGCTCTGTAACCCTTGGGGTGAAGTGCAGCGAAATTGCTCGCCGTTTCACGAATCAGGCTGCGTGGCAAAGTCCGAAGACTTCAGGGCAGAGTCGCGTTGGCCTAACCTCACGTGTGGTCTCGTCGAGTGCCTGAGAGCGTGATTAGACTTGTTGTGTCTTTCTATATGTTCCTTATGTTATAGTCCTTCTATACTGTAGTCGCTCGTTGTCTACAGTAAGAGGTCGCCGCCTCTGAAAGAGCTGGTGGTTATCGGATTGGACAGGCGAATTTTTGGATAGCCATGCCTCCGATCGGCGGCGAGGCAACAGATGCAACGTCGGATTCAAGCAGGAAAAATGTAACGCCCAACTTGCATAGACCCGACCGTGATTTGAACACGGGACCTTAGGATCTGCAATCCCACGCTATAACCACTTAGCTATCGAGTCATGGTAGAAGACTCGGACCATTGCACAACAGCGCGGACGGGACGCATGCGCTTTCTTACTGCCCCCAATAATGCCGTCAGTTCATCGACGTGCAGGACTCTCTTACAAAAAGAGATAGTACAGGTGATGGGCAAAGATACAAGGTAAAGTACATACTCGGATAAGTAAGTCAAAAGTAAGTGGCGGGACACATACGTGAGTGCTAGTCAGGCTCTTCGAATGAGCACCGATTGGGCATCTCTAGCTACGCCGAAGACCATTTCTCTCTGCTGCGTACTCCCTGCTCATTCGCTGCCTACCATCTATATCTCCTCTATCACGTCGTCCTCGTCTACGGGTAGAGGCGCTGGTTTCGGCGCAGGTTTTGCGGCGGGAAACTTTTGTGGCACGGGTGCAGAGGTGTCGTTCGTCGAGGTCGGAGGGGCCGGCGCCTTCGCAGCCCCGTTGGCATCGATCGCGGGAGCAGGCGCATGCGCATCATTTGCAGGAGAAGGCGAACCAAAGCCGAGCGGTTCGATCCCCGACGCGTCTTCCTCCTCGACGTCGGCGGGCGCGGAGACCGATGCTGCTTTCGAGTCTGGATGTGGGAGATTAGCGGAGTTCGATTACTGTTCACGCCCTTGCGTCCATCTGCACGCCCCAAGCCCCACCTCTGCAGACGAGGAGACGGTCATGACACTCACCCAGCTCGATCCCCTCCACCGCGTTTACGAGCTCCTCCTCGTCCTCGATGTACGCGCCCTTCGCCTCCGGGCGCTTAAGCATGTTCACGAGGCGCTCAATGGTTTCGTGGATCTAGAAAGAGTGGGTTAGCGAATTCCGCTCGAAATATTGAATCGAAGGCAAGGAATCCAGCTCGAAGCACAATAGAGAGCGTTCAGAGCGAAGAATCCACTGTAAGAGGAGTCAAAACAGGATAATCACCCCCTCATCTTTCTCCGCCAGATGCGCGGCCCTGATGACCTCGTACACGCCTGAGTTCCTTAGCTTCTCGCGGCTCCAGCGGGTGGAGCACAACAGGAGGAGCGTCTCGGCGATGGTGTGGCGGATGGTGGCTGGAGGGTGGAATTAGCGCTGAATACTTCGAGCACGGACGAAGAAGGGCCGACTCTCATACGAAAGAAAGAAGTAGAGGGCCGGGGTAGGCGGAAAGGGAAAGGAATGGAAGGAGGCGCTCACCGTCCGGTTCCCTCTTCTTCGTCTCTGGTAACATTTGAAGCGCGATGGGAAGTTTCTCCATATCTTCCAAGTCTATCTCCTCCGGCCCCGCTAGAGGCAGTAACAAGGGAACGAGCACGTCAATCCCCGGCGCCGTCACAGTAGACGGCGGATCCTCCTTCGTCAACCGCGGCGCCGGAACCTGCTCCGTCTCCGGACTCAACATCGCCTTATGCGCCGGCAGCGCGAACGCACAATTCTTGATCGTGCTCGCCACCCCCGCGCGGCGTATCCGATCCGCATGCTCCGTGAACGGCGTCAACTTGGCTAGGGGGAACTCCAGCGGGCCATCGACCACGCCGCGCGGCGTGGGCGTGAGGAAGAAGCGCCGGCCGGCGGCGGTGGCGGAGAGGTTGGCGAAGACGTTCGCGAGGAAGTGGAGGGCGGACTTGCGCGGGCGCTTGTCGAGGTCGTCGGTTCCGGAGAGCTGGGCGCCTTGGACGAAGGCGTCGAGGAGGAGGGCGAGGGCGCGGACGCGGCGGGGCTCGCCGTGGGGATAGGGTACGGGGGCAGGGCAGCTGCCGCAGCGGGCGTCGGTGGGGAAGAGGGCGGCGCTAGGTGGGGCGTCTTTGGGGACGGAGGCGTCTGGGAGGACGGGGATCTCGAGGGTGGTCATCGCAGCGCATGCAGCGGCTCCCGCGGTGAGATTACTGAGCAGCATGGCGGACAAGTCGGCGAGCGTCGCCTGCCGCGCGCATGTATACGCCGCCAGGAAAGCGAGAAAGGACGGCTCATTGAGCAGGTTCGCGGCCTTCGCATCGTCGCTGAGGTTGACGAGGGCGCGGAAGGCATCGTGCGCGACGGCGAGCTGGTCGCGGCAGAGGAGCTTGAGGTTCTGGATCGCGGCGGGGGTGAAGATCGATCGGTGGGGGGCGCCCTGGGGCGTATGGGGGAGCAGGTGGGAGAGCGCGATCTGGCGCACGGACGGGTTGCGGTCGCGGAGGAAGCCGAGCAGCTCGTTCAGCTGGGACTCCATGGTGGGGCGGCGGGTGATCGACCAGACGATCGTCGACCAGGCGCTTATTCAAGGTCGGCAGCGCGGACCGTACAATCGGCAACTTCCGCCACGTTGAACTTGGACGGTGGAGGGCACTCTCCTCCTCATCGACTAATTTCATAACAAAGGGTGTTCTCATCCATACGCTCAGCAGCTGCGTTTGAATGCATGTATACAGGCTACGTGCGTATATCTACCCCCTACTTTGCTTCCCACTACATTGCCATCACTTGCCGGATGTCTGCGTGGTACTGGTCGCTTTCCCCATACTCTTCAACGTCCGAATGTGAAACGACGCAGAAGAAATCCCCTTGGTGGCCCATTCTGCCATTCTTGACAGCATCGAGTTGAATTCTTCGACGTCGATGATGAAAAGCGGCTCCGCGTCGTTCAGCAGCTCGTGCTGGCGGCGCAATATAGCCAACTGCGGAGTATCTTTGGTCCTTCTTTATCAATGAAATATAGTCGAGCTTACAGTGAGCAGCAGCGCTTTCGTATCTTCTTGCGAGTGAGTCAGAAGGAAGAAACTTGCTACCCGCTCCTCCATGTTCTGTACGATGGGCGACACGCGCTCTAAGAGTTGCGCGAGCTTGAGCTCGGACCTGCGAGGGAGGTCTTTCTGAGGCATGCGATCGAGTACGCCTATCAGGCATATCAGTACTCGTCGTTGATACCCCGTGAATCAGGACCTGGTGGCGCGCGTAATTGAACTTACCTCCCTGCGCACTGTGCTCCACCTTCTCGTTCTCGACAAGCCTTTGCACACTCTTCAAAGCATGCACAGGGAAATCGACTGCGTCCAACAGCTCGCAAAACCTCTGAATGGGTATCTCGCTTGGCGAAAGAACTAGTTCATCGGCGGCGTGTGGTGCAGTGACCTGCTTGACCACGTCTTCCACATCCAATGGTTCCGGAATCGAGGCGAACCTCCGATCCGCTTGTTGCAACATAGCCTGAGAGCGCACCCGTTCCACCTCCTCAATCGTTTTTGCCTCCTCCACGCGCCTAGTGTTGATGGCAGAACTCTGCCAGGTTCTGCCAATTCGGCCTGCCAGCCTGGCATGCCAGGCGGAACTCGAAGGTCTGCAAAACGAGGTGGCATAACCTGGCTTAATGAAGTGCAATTTTCAGCCTGTCTTGGCATTTTTGCGCACCTCTTCGACGCGGTTGAACTTGGTTGAGATAGTATAGAGCGAAACCACCTTTTCCCGACGCTCTTGGTGCGGTCGGAAGCATGGCTTAACTTCTGCCACGGGTGGCCATCAGCTCGACGCTCACGCGGTATGCCATCATAACCTGGCAGGAGCACAAGCGCGGCCCTTGCCTGCCGCATCAGAAGTTCCACCTACTTCAACAACTCCCTAAGAAGGTCAACACACCCGCCAAAGGCCTTTTTCTGCCTCTCAGGCGCCCGAATGACGGTGATTGCTAACATTCCCACGCCACCCTCTGCCACCCTCTGCCATTAAGCCAAAAGCCATTCTGCCGGGCTGCCACGGCGGAAAGACACCGAGACAATTCTGCCCTGGACACTACACGCGCCTCATCACGACCTTGTAGATCGCCTCCATGACAAACAGTGATACGACGACGTCTTCCGCCTTGGCGGTGTCGTTCATGATCTTCTCCTTCACGGCGGGTCCGACGCCAGTGATCTCCTCAAAAGCGTTCAGTGCGGCAACGGCGTCCGAGGATGAGACGTTCATGTCAGCGCCGGTATCAGCAGAGCCCGCTCGGAGTTGGCGCAAATAATCCTCCACAACGCGAATCGGTTTGCGAAGCCTGACTAGCCTCTGGTCGTATATTGAGGCTGTGTTCGTGGGGTTGTCTGGAGTGAAAGAGGTGGTCAGTCGGTCCTGGCAGTCAGTGACGTGGGAAGCAAGGAACGAGGCGACGCGCTCACGAGTGTCACATTCGTCGGACATTATAAGTGGCGCGAGATGAAGGAAGATCAAAGCAGGGTAGAAAATTTGGAGTTGGGAAAGAGGCGACGAGGGAATGCAAGTGAGGGTGAGGTTCGGGGGAGAAGATAAAGTAAGGAAGAAAGAGGAGAGCTGACCTTCTCTCACGCCCGTTGTCTTCTGATGCGAGTGATGGCCGTGTACACAAAAGGCGGTCTTATTGTTCCTCTTTCGGTCAGGTGCGTACCGAGGTTGAGTAATGCGGATTATTGCATTGTGCGTATGGAATCATCGAACGGGTGCAGAGTTGAATGCAGACAGTATGCAAGATCGTCGAGCGTGGACAGCGTGAGCAGTCCCGGCCCAAGATTGCCGTACAAAGGACGGCAGGAAAATCGATCCAGACCTTCCAGCCTTCATGAGCTTGACTGCGAAGAGGGCAGCCTAGGCGGCAAACACGCGATGTCTTCGAGTATCTTGAGGAGCTCCGGGTTGAGGTCTTCACCCTTGCACATCTCGAGCTCCCTGCTCGCGCACGACTCGAGTTCCTTGCTCGCGCTTGTCTCGGACTCTTTGCTCGCGCTCTTCACGAAATTCTGATTGTCGTGCGCTTCCATCGTGCGCCAGACAAAATTCTGCATGTCGATGAGGAAAGCGTTCAGCATGTCAACGCTTATGATGAAGGTCGGATTGTGCGGAGTAAAGCGTCGAGATTGCATCTTCAGGGTGCAGATCTGCAGGACGCGTCAGTAAGAGTTGGGGTCCGTGGCGCGACAGGATGTGGACTCTGTGGTGACGTTGTGAGGACTCTCGGAGGATGAGGCGCGGAGCGGGATGGACGAAGCCCGGTCTCAAGAACGATGAGACATACTATAACGACCATCTTGTGCATATCATCATTGTTTCTCAAAACTGCAAGCGCGCCGGGCAGACACGCCTCAATGACCTGCGCCACCGAACAGGCTGTGCGCAGGCGCCGAACGTGGTCCTCCAATAAGTGCGCAGGAATAGTCTGCAGGGGGCGGCAGGGTAAGACTGCGAGGGATAGTTGTGAGAAACCACGCTTTATGGCAGTATCCGAAGGGAAACTCGCTGACCTGCAGCCTCGAAAGCGTCCTTGGTCTGCTTGATCAATTCTCCCTGGCGGTCCAGCATTTCTGAAGGGAGTGAGCGGGCAAGCATGACCACCTGGTTGAGTCTCTGGACGTCTGTGGCGCCGGAGAGCAGTTTAGAACATGTCGAAGGCGGTGGCGTGCCACCCTCGTACCTTTGGTAGTGAAAGGACGAGACGGGGGAGGCGTGCTGGAAACCCGCGTGTCGTCCGAGCTGTTCGTTACGAGATTCGTGCTAGACATCGCGGATTTTTGACTTGAGTGCGGGAGGGGGTGAGAGATAGAAACAAGAGCGATGTGGCTGATTTAGGTCATTTTATAGCGTTGTGTTGGCCGTTGAACGGTTTGTCGATTTTGTTGCTTTCGCCGCATGCCCCTAAGGACACTGCCGTTCGCGTCATGGCCACTTTAGAGTAATGGCGACAAAGACATACTTCAGGTAAAGGAGATCCCGAACAAGGCCGCTTGGAAGGGGCGACACAATACTGGTGGCAGGAACAAGGTGGCCGGACTGGGACCCAGCGGCATACGCCGGAGGTCACCGGCACTTGCCGGACTCGCATTCACTCGCAAACTGGTCTTCCGGAATACTTACTGTACTTGTCCTAACACGTCCGGCCTCATCCGCCATGCCCTTCAACACCGTCAAGGCTCAGTCTCACACAGAAGAGGTTCCACAGGTCCCTTGTTGCGCCGTGGGTAGGTAGTGTTACAAAAGTACGTTCGTAGTAAGCAGTCGCAGGTCCGTCGGTGGGGGCTTGTCAGTACAAGTCGTGGGCTAGTCTGTCCATCGGATACATATGTAATCGCCCCATCGCGCACCCGCGCACTTCATAGCGCGCGAGGGTCTCAGAGCTTCGTCACTCCAAGATCATGAAAGACGCCTCGCTCAGAGGTCGCTCTCAGCGAGGATCTCGTTCAGCTGGTTGATGCTGCGGAGGAACATGCTAGGTAGAACATCGGTTGGTGGGCGTGGCGGGTGGTCGACGAGACGATTGTCGAACAGGCGCTTATTCAAGGTCGGCAGCGCGGACCGGCCAAATCGGCAACTGCCGTCAAGTCGAACTTGAACGGAAGACCTGCTTCTTGACGTGAGAGAAAGATTTTCGCTCATGAATAGTTATTCAAGGTCAAGTACGGCAGTATACATTGTTAGGGCACGAATCCACAGAATTGTAGAGATCAAGGATTTTCGACGAGCTATTTCGATATGGCCAGCCAGTTTCAGCGTGACACTCAACCCTTCAAGCTCCTTTGTTCGCCTGGGCTTGGATCTGCGCGGCGAATTCGTCCAGCGAGGACTGCTGGATGGGAGTGACATACGCAGCCTGGCGATACTTGTCGACTGCAAGCGGCTGTTAGCTCTACAGTACGTGAATGATAATCCAAAACACAGACCAGAAGCCGCGAGATCGTTCCATCTCCCCACGAGCTTTTCGTCGACGAAGCCCGCGATAGCCGCGTTGGCCGTGCGAACGTTCTTGTTGACCATGCCCCTGAGGTTGCTCAGGTCCGCCCCGATGCCCTGCCAGATACCGAGCAGCTCTTGGACGACCTGGATAGCGGCGGAGAGCGAGGCGAGGAAGCCGGTCAAGTTCGCCTGAAGGATCTCTTTTTCAGATTTTCGCGTGTAAGTAGGCGAGGAAGGCACTTACACCGATACAGTTGAGGTCAGCGATGAGGCGCTTCTCGTCCTGGATCTTGGTCACCTCGTCGGTGATGTCCTTCTTAAGCTCGCCGATCGCGCTCTCGAGCTTGGCAGCCGCTTTCCCGTACGTGACGGCGATGCCGATCGCGATGGCCGTCCCGATGGGAAAGAGCCAGGCATAGGTGACGGTGGTAGACGCAATGATAACGTCTGGGCATGGTCGTTAGCTCGCAACCAACTATTCGTATTCTTGCGATAGCTCACCCTTTTCGTACGCCGCCTCGTCGGCCCTAATAATGCGGCGGTTGCTGTCGAGGCTGGTCTCGAGCTGGGCAAGCTGGCCGACCTCGGTGTCGAGCCTGTCCTTGACGGCCTTGTTGCGCGTCGTCAGCGTCGACTGGTCCGACATGCACTCGTTCTCGAAGTCGGTGAGCGCCTTGACGGTCGCCGCGACCTTCGTCACGATGGCGTCGACGTTGGCAAGCTGCACGTCGATGAGGCCGTTGATGCTCTGCCTGATCTGCGCCTGGTCCGCCTCCTGGGCCGAGGGGAGCTGGCGGATGAGTTTGAAGATTTGGGCTGGCATGAGAGGTTAGTTCAAGCCCGTGAATTCTTCTGCAAGACGTCGTACCGTAGTAGGAGTCATCTACGGTGCCTCCGGCATTCTGGGCATAGCTGTAGACGTCGTCGGCGAGGGAAACGATGCTAGGGTAGGTCGTGTCCTTGAACGGAACGCAGTGGCTCTTGGTCTGCACGGATCACGTCAATTGTATCTGCTCGCCGCATCATTATCAGAGAAACTCACCGTGGCGTAGGCAGCGACGAGGTCCTTGAGAACGCCTTCGAGCTTGACCATGGTGTCCGTAGAGATGTCCAGGCGCTCTTGATAGCTCTGTGCGTCGACGGGAAGGAGCACGCCCGCCCAGACGTACTTCAGCAACTTGTACACATCGCCGTGCTGGAGGATATAGTTCCCGTCCTGGTTGATGAGGCCCTTCGGGGTCATGTCGATGGCGGGGGCAGTCATGGCTTCAGAGACGATGAGCGGAAGAGGTCAAAAAATGAGGACAGAAGAGCTGTGAGGAGACACCTCAGGCCTCGCGAGCTTATATAGGGTAAGAGACGCTGAGACAGGTAGACTGCGGGGCTACAAAACGGCTTGATCAAAATGCGCAGCGTGGCACGCGCACTGTGAGTCCTTCTCTAGAGAGCAGTTGGACAACAGCACTACCCCACCTGACGGACATGAGATCCAATGGGCCGCCGGTTGCCCGAGTATCCTGCATCTATACGAGGTTAGGGTTGGTCGAAGTTCTATCGTCGACGTCGATATGGGGAGAAAGACGGCTGAGCTGACTAAGTACACCGGGGAGGGGAAGATCCCGGAATTTGGGGTAATGGCGAGCTTTCATAGCCGGTATAATTCCAGTCGTGCGTTTTCTGGACGAAGGGTATCAAAGACGAGAAGCAATTGGAGGCGCCCTATCAGAATAACGTTTGCGAGCTTATGAGGTCGATGGCTTGGGAATCTACGCAGATGTGACCCTTGATCGATTCAAATTGCGCCGCTGCACTGGTGCGATAGACTCGGACTCGAGGAGCGATGCCTGCTGGTGCAGTCATGTAGTATTGTGAAAAGCCGCAAAGATAGGGTCGTCTGGCGTATGCTGTTCGAGTTCATTATCTGTAGAGCCATGTAAGCTAGATGCTTCAAGTTCGGCTCGAACAGCTGAGGATGAAAGGGGATCGTCGCAGTCCAAGTCAAGCTCGACAAGACGTGACATGGACCGTGACATTATCACTGATCACTGTCATTGCCTTCACGTTCGCAGCTCCTGATGCTCTGACAATCTCTGAACTCTCGCTGCTTTCAACTACCTCGTCGAGAAAAAAATCGCAATATTCACAGCGTCGCGCTCCTCTGGGTTACCCGAGAACTCTCATACCGGAAGTTCTGCGCCTGACCGCCTTCGTCTTCTCCTTCCGCCAGGCGGTCAATCTTCGCATTGCAAGACCATCTTGATCACTAGGATGGCCATGAACTACAGTGAATCAAGAAGAAGACGATGTCCCTCAGCGGGTACCCGACAGTGAACCCATGCCTCTCGCGATGAGCGCTGCAACTCCGGTGTTCGTCGTCAGCAGGTGTTTGGACGTGATCAGAGGCCTTCTGGTAGACCTTCGGGGCAGCACTCTTACCTCCGCCGGCGCCTGAGGGCTTCGCGCCGCTAGCTGCGCGGTCTTCTGATCTCTGATGGTGAGGAATCTGAGGACGTCAATAGTACACGACATCTGTGCGGCGCGCACCGCTGCGCCACCATCCAAGTTCATGCGCACCGGACCGCAGCGAAGACAAGCAATCAACTTGGCTATCTCAGGTGCGTACCCCCTCCTTTGCCACTAAACAGCGCATTTGCCCCTCCATTGCCGATACACCAGCCCTTCCACCATGTCTTCTGGATTGATTCGACAAGTAAATGGCTCTCTGGCTCACATGTATCCAGTTCATGCCTTCATTTCATTGGATGAGGACTGTCATGTCTTCCCATTTGTCCAGCCATAGTTGAGCATGCTCAAAAGGGTCCCATTGCGCAGGTAAAAGGTAGGGGGTAAATAACAATAAAGCAGTCGAATCGTTCGAGAGTCCACAAGTCCGGCTGTGTCAGGGTAGGTAGTAGCAGTCCGGTAGTCGAGTCCGTTCGCAAAAGTAGTCCGCGCGTAGTGTATGCACATCGACAGTGCATGGTAATGTGCGGCATCCGTGCGTAGTATATACACGTCGACCGTGCACGATAAATACACGTCAAAAGTCCTCATACAACATCACGGCGCACCCGCACACTGCATAGCGCGGCCGTGGATGGTCATGAATAGCTTACTCGAGCGCCCAGTAGGCGGCGGCGAGGCGGTTGGGGAAGCGGCGGGCACTAGAGGAGGGAGGTTAGCCGAACCTCGCGTCCATGAGGAAGCACGAAGACTCACCCCGCATAGTTCTCGCGACGCTCAAAGGCCATGCGGCGCGCAGCAGAGCCGGCGTCCTTGCCGTCCTTGCTCTTCTTGCCACCGTCGGTCGCACCAGAGGCGGCCGCGGAGTCGGTCGCGGAGGCACCAGAGGCGTCGGAGGCACCAGCGGCGGCAGACGCGTCACCGCCTGCAGCGGCAGAGGCATCACCGCCGGAGGCAGCGTCCGTGGCACCAGCGGCAGCGGCGGAGTCGGTCGCAGAGGCACCCGCGGCACCGGCATCGGTAGCGGAAGCGCCAGAGGCAGCGTCGGTCGCGGAGGCACCACCAGCAGCTGCACCGGCATCACCGCCAGCCGCGGCACCGTCGACCTGCGCAGCCTGGTCGAGCTGCTCGCAGGCGGCCTGGAGTTGCTGGAGCTGCGAAGGACAATGAGCATACATCGAAGTTATCTCCTAAGACAGCGAGCTCACCATCTGCTGCATCATAGCAGCAGCATCACCAGCAGCACCCGCGTCACCGCCAGCCGCCGCGCTCGCACCACCACCGGCGGCAGCGCCGGCGTCGCCGCCCTTGCCACCACCGCCACCGCCGAGGAGGCTGCCAAGGAGGTCGCCGATGAGGTCGCGGCGGCGGAGGCCCTCGATGGACACGGACGCGCCGAGACCGGACGCGTCGCCGCCCGCGCCAGATGCATCGCCGCCAGCACCAGAGGAGGCGGAAGCGCCAGAGGCATCGGAAGCGCCAGATGCACCGGACGCGTCACCACCAGCGGCACCCGAGGCGGACGCACCACCAGCAGAAGCACCACCCGCCGACGCAGACGCGCCGCCGGAGATAAGACCCATCTGCTCGGCGGTCGCGCACATCTGGGCGAGCGCGGAGCTGGAGACCTCGCAGGTCGCGGAGCCGACGCCGCCGGCGGAGGCGCCGGAGGCGTCTGCGCCTGAGCCGGACGCTGAGCCAGAGCCGGACGCGCTGGATCCAGAGGAGCCAGATGCGCTGGAGCCCGAGGCACCAGAGGCGTCGCCGCTCGAGCCAGAGGCATCACCGGAAAAGCCAGATGAGCCCGACGAGCCAGATGCACCAGAGGCGTCACCGCTGGAGGAGCCAGACGAGCCCGACGCATCACCGGAGGCAGAGCCAGAGGCATCGGTAGCAGACGCGCCCGCGGCAGAATCGGTCGCGGACGCACCACCAGCAGCAGCGTCAGTGGCGGACGCACCACCAGCGGCGGCGTCGGAGCCAGCAGCGGATGCGGACTGGGAAGAAGGTCAGCATTCGTAAGGATATGATTTCTAGGCGCAAGGATACGATATCTGGGCGAGGATATCATATCGGAGGAGGATACTCACAGCATCGCCGCCGCTCTGGTCCTTGCCGGAGTTGTCGCCTCCCTGGTCCTTTCCAGATTGGTCCTTCCCGGACTGGTCTCCGCCTTGCTGGCTGGCGTCACCGCCTTGCTGAGCAGCATCGCCTCCGTCGCCGTGGCGCGCCTGAGAAGGATTTGTTAGCACAACGGCAAGGTGGATAGGAAAACTAGACCGCATAGAGAAGCTAGACTGAAGACCCACCTGCATCGGGTTGAACGTCGCGATGTCGCGAGCGACAGGCGCGGGCGCGGCGAAGACCGTCGTCGCGAGGAGGACGGTGGTGTAGAGGAGGGCACGGTTGAACAACATAGTGAGGTCGAGTAAGGTAGACTTGTCGAGTAAAGAAGACTTGTCGAGTGAAGAAGGCGTGCAAGAGAACTACGCGTAAGAGGAGACTAAGTTTGCGAGCGGAAGAGATCCTTCAAGGATTAAAGACTGTGCGGGACGTGGCTAGCACGGAAAGACAGGCGGACGAAATGGGCGTGGGACGGGCGAACGATGCGAAAGGCGAACGAAGAGGAAAAGAGTCGACGCGGTCGACTGAAAAGAAGGGCGGGGTGCGGTGGGAGACCTGGTGAGCAAGTTGAAGGAGAGTGGGAAGAAGGGGAGATGGGCTTATATACCTCGCGCAGGGGAAGTGCTTACCGAGCTCCCCGGTCGCCTCGTCGCGCCGTTCCATTGTACTGGATCGGGGTATGAAGGGGGGACGTGGACGCAGGGTGGACATCCGTCAAACGTCTTCTGATGCTCCCCCAATTCGCCGCGCGTGGGGGAGAGGTCATCAGAGCCTGTGGAGCGCCGTTGCGGTGGGAGGCGGGGGCATCATCGAGGACGACAAGCGCCCTTGTCGGCCATCGTCAGGACGACTGCGCCGGTGAGCAGAGTGAAATCGGGGAGGGGATCTCGGCACTGTAGAGGATCTTCATGGCGGGGGACGAGTGACACGCGCGTGCTCATTGAAGGCGAGATGATGTGACCAAACTCGACTGTGGGAAGTTTGAAGTGAGGCCCATTCTATTCGCCATCGAAGGTGCTGCGCATAGTGGAGTATCAAGAGGCCTCGCAACGGTATAATTGGGGCCGAGCGTGGCGAGAGCGCCCGTCGAGCACGACGCTGAGCCCAAGGATGCGGGCAGGCAAGTCCGTCGCAAGTCGCGACCGCAACGTCAAGTCTAAAAGACTCAAAGGAAGAAGATGACGCGGTTGAAAGGTCATTCTTGGAAGATTGCGAGCCATCGTAAGCTGAGCAAAGAAAGCGAGAGTTCTAGGTCTGATATTTGAGCAGTTGAGGTGCAAAAGTGACACTGCAACTAGCGCGTTCAAGACAAAAGCCAAGACGGTGTTCGGGAAGGACGTGACGCATTCCTCACGTGAAGTGTGACAACCGCGCCTCGGTCCGGGCTCCCGTTCAAGCTCGTCTTTCCATCTTCCACTTCCACGCTCGAGTTGACGACCGTGCTCCACCGAGTTCATATGACTTCCACGACGACGAGTGTCCTCTCCCGTGCTGCGCATGTCTATTCCTGCCCCAAGGCTCTTTGCGCTCGATGCACTTGCATCACAGGACCCGCCGCGGGCTGATTAGCGGGCAAAAGCCCTTTGCGTGGCCAGATTTCAGGGTGACCTGTGGAGCCTCCGAAAGGTATAAAAGGATGGGCTTCCTCACGTCTTGCTCCCCACAAAACGCCAGTCGTTCACCAGGTCCTGAGTACCCCACGCGCATCCTCCCTCCTTCATAGTCGACTGCGTCGGCTTGATTTATTCGCTTTCTTTCGTGCACGTTCACTCGCAGTCCTCTGTCGCTTGTCTTCTGTCTATCCTATCTGTCTACGACCTCCCTACCTCGTCCTTGAAGGAACTTCTCGTCTCGCTCTCTGTATCAAGTTAGCCTCGCACCCCGACCCTTACATTCACGATGCTTTTCAACCGTGCCCTCCTCTACACCACCGTCCTCCTTGCGACGACCGTCTTTGCTGCTCCGACGCCTGCGCGTCGTGATGCGGTTGCTTTCAGCCCCCTTCAGGTGCGTTTGTCCATAATTTTACTCGTCGACTCTTGACCGACGCGTCGTCCAGGCCCGCGGTGGCGACAAGGGCGGTGACAATGGCGGTCAAGGTGGCGGCGATAACAGTCAGGGTGGCTCTGGCTCTGGCTCTGGTAGCGGCTCTAGTGATGCTGTATGTCCTTCTCATACTCTGTCCATACTTTTCCATCTAATTCTGCACTAGAGCGCAGCCGGTGGCGCCTCCGCTACTGATTCCGCCGCTGGCGCTGGCGCGACCGACGCGTCTGGTGCCTCTGGCGGTAGCTCGTCTTCTGGCGGCGCGTCTTCCGGTGGCGCATCTTCGGGCAGCGCTTCCTCCGGTGGTGCGTCCTCTGGCGGCCTCGGCGGTAGTGGTGCCGGAGGTGCATCAGGTGGTGCTGCCAGCGGCGACGCCCTCGCCCAGATGTGCGCGGTCGCCGAGCAGATGGGTCTGATCGGCAGCGGCGCGGATGCCTCTGGTGGTGGTGCTGCTGGCGGTGCTGCTGGGGGTGACGCCTCGGGCGCTTCGTCTGGTGGCGCGTCTGGTGCCTCGTCGTCCGGCGGCGCTTCCTCTGGTGACGCCTCTGGCGCATCGTCTGGCGGAGACGCCTCCGGCGCCTCCTCCGGCCAGCTCCGCCGCACCCTCCTGAGCCGCGGCTTCCTCGACGGCCTCTTCGGCGGTGGCGGGGACTCGGGTGCGGGTGGTGCTGGTGGTGCCGGTGCCTCTGGCGCGGCTGGCGGTGATGCCTCTAGCGCAGCTGGAGGTGCCTCTGGCGGTGCCGGTTCTGGTGCAGCCGGCGGTGCAGGTGCAGCCGGCGGCTCTGGCGGAGGCGACCTCCTCGACCAGATGCTCCAGCAACTCCAGCAGGCCTGCTCCCAGGTCGACTCCGGCGCTGCGGCGTCTGGTTCTGGTTCGTCTGGTGCTGGTGGCGCGTCTGCCACCGACTCCGCTGCGGGTGCTGGCGCGACCGATGCCTCTGGCTCTGGATCTGCTGGTGGCGCGTCCGGCTCTGCTGATGGTGCTTCCGGCTCTGGCTCTGCGGGTGGTGCTTCGGGTTCTGCTGGCGGCGCGTCCGGCTCAGGCTCCGGCTCCGACACCAACGGCTCCTCCGGCCTCAGCGGCGGCGACTCGGGCGCGAGCGCGGGTGCCGGCGCGGGCGGTGCCTCCGCGACAGACTCTGCCGCGGGCGCGTCCGCTACTGACGGCAGCTCGGGTGGTGCTTCATCGTCCGGCGGTGCTTCATCGTCTGGTGGTGCTTCATCGTCGGGCTCTGGCTCTGGCTCTGGCTCTGATTCGGGCGCCTCCGGCTCTGGCTCGCAGTCCGGCGGCGACAGCAAGCTCAAGAGCCGCGTGGCGGGTTACCGGTGAGTTTATCCCTCACGTCGTTGAAGATCTCGTACTTACGCGCCCTCAGCATGCTCCTCCGCAACCTCAACCAGCTGAACGAGATCCTCGCGGAGAGCGACCTCTGAGCGATCTTTGCTCATCATCCTCTTCGTGCGGCGAAGATCCTCGCGCGCTATGCAGTGCGCGGGCGCGCGATGGGGCGATTATTCATTCGACGGACAGACTTAGGCTCTCGCCCACCTCATGTATAGGCTAGCCTACTCACATGTACAGACAACCCCCCACCGACGGACCTGCGACTGCTTGCTACGAACGTACTTTTGTAACTTTACCTACCTACTGCGCAACAAGGGACCTGTGGAACCTCCTTTTTCGTGTGTGATTGAGCCTTGACGGTGTTCGAGGGCATGGAAAGTCGGCGAGGGCTCCATCCGGCAAGTTCCGACGGCGGATGCCGCTTGGTTCCAGCCCTGCCGCGTTTGTTCTCCCGACCACCATCATCCCGCCGGCCACGAGACAAGCGGCTCCCGTTCAGCATTCGCCGTTGCATGTCTTTGTAGCGATTATCTCAAAGTGGAAACGACAGTGTCCCTCGGGGCATGCAACAAAAATGACAGACCGTTGAACGTGCCCATGCATGGCCAACATAGCGCTATGTGATGACCTGTTCTTGACCAAGATCAACCACGTCGCTCTTGTCTGCATCTCTCAGTGCCGCCCGCACTCAAGTCAGAAATCTACGATGTTCAGCATGAACCTCGGAGCGAACAGCGGCGGCACAGACTTTTCCAGTATATTGCCTCCCCCGTCGCGCCCTTTCACCGATGGTATGAGGCTGGCACTCCACCGCCCTCTAACCGTGTCTCTAAAGTCTCGACATCCAAAGATTCTTCCATGTGGTCCACTTTACACGCTCATACCCTCCAGGAATGCTGGACCGCCAGGGAGAGCTGATCAAGCAGACCAAGGACGTCTTTGAAGCTAAAGGTCAGCGGGCTTCCTTTGGAACGTTCATAACAGCGCGGGCTCTTATAACGGAACTATCCCTCGCAGTCTTACCCCGCGTCTCTATGCAGATTATCCCCGCGCACCTTCGAGAGGGCCACGTTCGACGCTTGCGACAAGCGTTTTCGGTGGCGCAGGTCGTCGAGGCGTGTCTTCCCGGCGCGCTTGCAATTTTGCAGAACAAGGATGATATGCTCAAGATGGTCGCTTTTGAGAGACCCAGAGTTCATGTTCCCATCCCTTCATAAACCCCAACACCCACCAATGCGTCCCGCAGATCTGCACCCTGAAGATGCAATCTCGGCGCCTTTCTCCGCCCAATCCGACCTTCATCATCAGTGTTGGTGCGCTGGATGTTTTCCTCTCTTAAATGCAGGACTTCGTCAGGCGCACGATAGCAGCGCGCGGAAGCGAGGATCTCGAGACGAGCGCGAACAAAGACCTCGAGTCGCGCACGAGCAAGAAACTCGAGTCGCGCACGAGCAAGGAACCCGAGTCGCGCACAAACAAGACGCTTGAGATGCGCGAGGGTGAAGACCTCGACCCGACGCTGCTCAAGATATTCGAAGACATCGCGAGTTTGCCACTGTCTTCGCAGTCAGCGTCCGGAGAGTATGGCAGCTCTCGTCCGGCCTTGCGTGATGTCTTTATCGATGACCTATGAATGACAACAAAACATGCTAACTTCGATTGGCCTGTCAATTGGCTGTGATTACACCCTACCTTTTACAAGCGTAATAGGACCCTTTCGAGCATGCTCAGTCTTTGGCTTGATTGCAGTCCCGTTAACGAGACAACCAGTCGGCATTCTGACACGCTCTAAAGGCGATCGAAGGTGACCCCGGGATTCTAAGGACATGGCTACGGAGCTGAAGACCCAGAGTTGTCGGCTGTCACCGATGTCCTGCCTTCCCGTGCTTCCTTTCGCTCCACCTCGAGCTCCGTTGCCCAAGAGCGAACTTCGGGATGTCGAATGCTGGGAATACTGCTATCATAGAACGTCTCCAGATCCAGGCCTGTACGTCGCTCGTATGCGAAGGCTGCGAGGAAGGTAGAGGTGTCAAAAACGACATGATGTTTTGTTCAGCCGCGTTGAAGTGAGTACATACCCTGCGCAGCCATTTCGAATCGATCGAGGTCTGCGGAAGGATGAGCGCCTTGTCAAGAACCCAAGAAGGTGAAGGAAACGTACCCTTGACGAACAGCGCTTCAGGCGTCTCACGAGCTTCGTATTCCTGTCCACCCTGTCGGCAATTTGGGCCTGAGCCACCGGGACTAACTGACCTTCCATAAATCCATTATGCGCCGCGCCGCAGGACTGTCGTGCAGCATCTCGTGCACAAAGTTTTGCATCGTACCCTGCCCGAGTCAATTTCTAAAGACAATCATAGTGAAAAGGGCGAGAGCGTACTTCTTCCATTTTCACTTTTTCTTCTTTCGAGAAGCCATGTCGAGGAGTGATATCGCCCACTAGCAGAATAGTGAGCCAATTTCATCAGCCTAAATATAGAGGCGTACCTTGCGCCTCAGCGATATCGTGTACGAGAGCCAGCAGTACGCATCTGCGAAGCAGTCATACAATGGTTTGGAGGTGGAAAGTGGAAAAGTATACTTTGTGATATCCAACGTCGTGTCAGAGCAGCACATCGCCATGATCGCCATCCGATACATGTGGTCCGAGATGCTGTGAGGTAATATGAGTATTCGACGCGCAGGTGAAGTGCTCATCCTCTGGGCATTGTGTACCTCTCTGGATCGGGAATCTACGCTCGTTGAGGGCGCGGATACACGTGTGAAGACAGGAAAGCTGCCTACCTTGTGGTCTACCCAGCCAGTTCTCTTTTGGGTCTGCAGCGTATTCAGTCTGCCGATGAACGCAGGTTGTAATTCAGGTGTGCGAACGCACCTTTAATCGCTCCAAGACATGGAAAAAGGCCAACAGGTCGCGTTTGTCATTTCCCGTAGCCTTATACAGCGGATGCTGTTCCAAAGGTTGGGAAACCATTTCTGATGGAGGGGAGGAGTTCATGTTAGGGACGGAATAAGAAATCACAGGATGAAGGTGAGAAGAGGAAGTTGAACCGACCGTGACCGCAAGTGACCGTCTCGTTCCCACAATCAGGCGAGCTGCCTTCGAACCGGTCGAAATCCAGGTTGAACTCTATAGCAAGAGCTCTCTCGTGCAGAGCTTTCACCAGCAAGGTCAGAAGAGCCTCGATGTATATGCCTCACAGACTCAAAACCGGTCTGTATGCTGAACAAGTGTGATCTTACATTTAGCCGATATCTACTTACAGTCTCGCAGGCAGTCTTCCCGCCCCGCTCAGCCGTATCGTCTCGCCATTCACGTACGGACAGTCCAATATATATCTTACCGTCTGCGCAAACTCATCTGGCTTTCCAAAGCGTTGCGGGTAGACGATGCCCTCGGTCCGTAAGCTCTTCTGCGTCTTTGCGTTCATCGCGTCCGTCATACTGCTGGCGAAGACGCCTGGCGCGATTGTTGCGACGCGCACACCGTACCGTGCAAGGTCGCGCGCCATCGGGAGCGTCATTCCTACGAGCGCTCCCTTCGTGGCAGAGTAAGCAGTCTGACCGGGTTGGCCTTCGAACTGCAAGACCGAATTAGGCAGCGTCACGAACTTTGACAGTTGAGCGTACCGCCGCAGCACTCGCCACCATCACAATCACTCCACGCTCACCATCCTCGCCTTCCGGTGGTGCATACACCAGGTGCTTGAGCGCCAGCCGCGTCAGGTTGAACGTCCCCGTCAAGTTGACATTGAGCGCGAAGTTCCACACGTCCAGCGAATGCGGCTCCGGAGGACGTGCACCGGTCTTGTCGACCGAGATGACCTTCGCAGCGATGCCGACGCCAGCGCAGTTGATAACGCCACCGAGGGGGGCGCCTGATTCGCTTGCCCAAGCGGCAGTGCCCTCGACCGTACGCTCGATCGCGTCGACGTCGGTGATGTCGGTGGGGAAGAAGCGCGCTCGCGGGGAGGCCTTGACTTCCTCGGGAGGCTCAGAGAGGTCGACGATAGATGCGTACGCGCCGGCGTCTAGCAGGGAACGAACTGTCGCCAGCCCAAGTCCGGATGAGCTGCAATTCCGTTCGTGCATCAGAGGAGGCATCGACGCGACGAGTACGCAGTGACGCACCCTCCAGAGACGATGAAAGTACGCTTCTCAACCTTCATGGTGGCTCGTACTACGCGGACGCGTCTTGCAGTGGTGGAGGCGTTGGTGAAGGCACTGGACAAGTACCGCTCCCCGGTTCAGTCGCTCAGCCGGAAGCATCTGATTCCCCCACGTCCCATTGGCACTCCACGGGGTCTTAAGTGCCGAAGGAATGCTACACTGCGCGGTTGCATTAACTGTCGCGTCTCACGAAGCCATTCAGAAGGGCCTTATGACGTTATTTTTCACTAAAAAATACCAAGCGCAGGTAGTAGGAATGTGGTGATAGGAAGCAAGAAGCGTACGAGAGGGAGCAGGCTGTGGGCACAAAGCACGTGTCCGCAATCCGGTAGCATGATGTGCATTTTCATGGTGAGCACGGTGTAGTGTAAGGTTCAATATAGAGTGACGGTGGTGTATCAACGCGGATGCGCTCGCATACTCGTGCGAAGCATCTTCATGCTGTCCGAAAGCATTCGCATTTGGCGCCACAAAAGACGTGTTTGGCGCGCAACTGGGAACCGGAACTTCACCAACCAAACACACGTACCGACTACAGTCTGTAAGTCGCATAACTCATTGACCAGACGGCTGATTCATTCCCTCCTGCTGGACCGACATCCCCCTTAGTTCATGTGGTTGGTCAAGCCAAACGACCTCGACCACCGTACCAACAGCTTTCGTTTGGTCCAACTGGCTTGACCAACCCTCGACAACTCGGTGGACTGTTGGTCAAGCGAGTCAAGTTCAAGGCAGGCCATCAACATACGTCAGTACGCAACGTCGCATACATAAGCTTCGAGTCCACCTATACAATGATTCTCTTTGGACACGTCGACCCTTTCCCTGCTTATCCGCGTCAATGTCCTCCAATCCCTCTTCGTCGGTGGGCCTGCCTTCTGACCTCATGGCCAACGTTGCACAGCTGGTCCAGCAGGCAGTCTCGCAGGCCATGGCATCAGCCTCTGCTGCCTCTCCTTCCCCTCCTTCATCCACGAACTCTGCCATGGGACCGCCTCCGATACAGCCACCACCACCCACACAGCCTCCTCCCTCTACGCAGCCCCCGTCGTCAGCTCAGCCTACCTTTCCTACGAACGCGTCCGTCTTTCCGTCTCCTCAGGGCGTTGGCGCTTGTGGATCCGTCCTATCCGCTCTTGCGGGACCTTCGGCAATCCCTCTGTCATCCGCGGCTCCCATCACGCCTTACCGCTCTATCTCAGCCGGCAGCACTGTCACTAGTCCTGGTGTTCCTGGTCTCCGCGCCCTGGCGTCGCAAGGCGGATCCGCATCCACCCCTCGCCTGACCGCCATACTCCGGCAGCGTATCAACGACGCCAATCAGGAGCGGCTCGAGCATAGCGCTGCGGGTCGGGATCAAGATGGGAGGGGCGGCACAAGCCTCAGCAGCCGACGAGGTAACAGCACCACTGCGCCTCGGCGGTCTCGTGGGCCCGCAGCAAGGAGACCGACGTTGAGGGACTGCCTTCCTAGGAAGCAGCTTCCTTCCGTCGACGATGTGATTGTGGCGTGCGCCGATCCCACTTCTCAGCAGCAGGTTGTGGCCGCCAACATCACCGTTCATGTTCTCTTTTCTTTCATCGAAAGCTCCGACAACGCGGTAAGCCATCAGCGCAGCTCGGTGCGAGATGCCTACTCACTGAAGGCACAGACTTTTGGAATGACTAAGCATTCGATACTCTACACCGACACTGACGCTCACGAGGCGTGTCTACGCCAATGCGAGCTTGTTTTCGAGCACCACGATCCTGTGGCGCTGGAGACGACCGTCGACCAAATTCTCACAGATACGCAGGTTCGGATGGAGGAGGTCGGCTGGATCTTTCAGCAAAGGGCCGGTAGTGTTTCTCTTCGAAGCTCGCGCGCTCCGCTGTCTTTGGTTGGTCTCGTCAATCATGGCGTGCACATTGCTGCGCCTCCCCCGCACGAGCTATGCAGGATCAAGCTCCGTCCCGAGCCCCCTAGCACGACGCTCGGCCAGCTCATCCAAAACCCGTACTTCATGAGCCCACGCAAGCCTGAGCTCTCCATTGCCGGCAATCGGTTTATTATTCGTCTGAGTGCGTTTTTTCGACCTATTTCTCCCCTTCTGAGCACTGACAGTGTAGTAGTGAGTACTCTACCCATTGGGCGTCGTGTGAGTCTGAAAGACCTGCGGCTCAGTGATGACGACGACGAAGTGCGTCTGCACTGGTGCTTGTCTATCAGGGTCAAGCTTGCCATGACCGACTCCGCCGCATATCCTGAGTTGGACCATTTGATATGCGAACACTGCGAGTGCGACGTGAGTCTTTACTTGTGCATGGTCTTCACGGAGCTGACGAACGTCCCAGAGAGGAAGCTCTGCCAATCGCATCCGTCCCCGCCTTCCATGCGCGTCCACGCCGGCACACCCGGCTTCAATGCGGACGCGAACTACCACCGGCCAGATGGGTACGGAATCTATTGACTCCGAAGCCGAGTCTACTGAGGTACGCACTTTGTCTATATGCTTGAATAAGTACTCAGTGTGTACAGGTGGCTCGAAGCCTGATAGATGATCGCCAAACTATCGATTTCCCTTCGTCTCTCTCAGATCTCTGGGAGTGTCCTGCGCTTCGCTCACTGGACCACGACTTCGATATCCCTCCATTCACTCTGCATCAGCTCCCAGAGGCCGCACTGGAAGTGGTTGGGCACTACCACCGTCGCGCTGGACTGGGGGACCCCGCTCGTCTTTGTCTACGCGCACGCGATCAGCAGGATATGAACCACATGCTAGGCGTCGAGATTGAAAAGGCCATGCGCCAGCAGGACTACTCGCACTTGCTCAGCCCGAGCCGCGTCTTCACCATGTACGTCCTTATGTAGCCTTCAGTATCTGGTCTACGCTCACTACTTGTTTTAGAGAGGGCCATCGCTAGCGCGTGGCATACGGTGGGTTAGGAAGTTGTCTCGGGTTTTCCGTTCTTATTTGGTTAAATGAGTAATATCTACTTAAACTACCTTATCTCCCGCGTAGGTTAACCTCTATTTGCGTGCGCTCGTAAACATGTAAAGCTCTGTTACGATGCCCGGTAAATACTATGTGCTGGTCGTCGCTCGCTGATCCATGACCGTTCAGAGCGTAATGTGGGAAATAAGGTCGTCGGGCAAAGAGCAATTACGCTTGGGGTTAAGAGCTGTGCGGTGACGTATAGCGTGACTATTCGTGAGAATGTCTGTTACGCGTGACTCAGCGTGCAGTATCTACCGTTCGTCGTGTACCATCGTCGTCCCGCTATTCCAGTGACAAGAGAGTGCGCGGCACAGATTCACGGTGGTGCGTCCACAGCCGGCTCATTGCATTATCTGAGGTTGACCTTTATAGCCACGCACAACACCTCTTGTCCGCGCATCTCGTTCCGGTGCGTGGGTGGGAGGTGTCGCGGGGGCTGTTATGTGCGGCGTACGCACGGCGTGCCTCTCCCCCTTGTCCGCGGTCTTCCTGCGTCGAGGGGGGAGTGCGTCTTGTGTTCCAGCATGTCGATCGGAGGGGCGAGGCGAAGGACCGCCGTGCTTACTCGTGGTCGATCGATCGGGTCGCAACGATGTCGCCTTCGCTACGCGCCGTGTTCTTCTCGTACGGCTAAGGTCGTTCATCCTCTCCATGCCTTACGGTCGACCGGGCGTCATGCGTGCTGACTGCATCGCTGTGTCATCTTTGTCGTCGTGTCCCTCTACGGCTGGTATCTCTATAGCCATGTTCCATGTTCACTCTACTGTGTCCGTATGTCTGGCAATTCAAGCTACTTTTTTAACCACCTTCAATGCCGCCTGCGCTTGCTTCTAAAGCCGCAATAAAGAAGCGGGCGTGCTCGTGTTGCCGCGCGTGTTGTGTCCGTTACCGAGGGTTAACGTAGTTTCCCTCCGCTTGAGAGAAGAGGTTGACTGGTGAGACTAGGGTTAACGATCGGCGGGGTTGTAGCGGAAATTGCGCGAATGCGGGGGTACGAACATTGTATTGCGACGCAGAGTAATTGCATAGAACATCTCGTGCCGCCTTTCGAGGGAGTGTAAATGGCACCGACATAGCTCAGGTACGCCTGTGGTGCGTGTTGGCTGACCTCCCCACACGCTTCTTGTGAGTGCGGGATCCCTCTTCGATTCATTAAACCTTCCCTTCATCATTCGATCAGCCTTAAGCATAGAAGTTCCGTACTCAAACAACTGTCATATATCAAGTATGAGGATCTACATAGCATTGCTCGATAAGCAAGTCGCGCAAGGCTGAGCGCTCGAGTACGCTAGTAGCCTCCTATCGGCGCCCATGCTACTCCCCCAAAAAGATTGTCATTACTTGTCGTTCGCACGAAGGAGTGCTTTACCTATGAATGCACGAGTGCTGGCAATCGTGTCTTCGTTCGTTGTGAGACGTGCTGAAGATGCACGTCTTTCCATGGCAGTTGGCCTACAAGCAGTGAGATTCAAAGTTGTTTCGCACAAGTGCGACCGTATCACCTGCACTTCCTCGCGCTCAACGACGTGACCACAGACATGCTTCGTACACAAAATGGCGAAGAAGCACATGAGGCAATGTCGTTCTGTCGACACTAGTGTCAGCCAAAAAAACGGTTCGCGCGGGACTCAAGCTAGAACAGCTACCGTCGGCTATCGGGAACTTGCAACGGGGGGGGGGAGAGAATGAGAGAAGTGTGTACCGTGTCTTCTCAGCCGCGTTTATGTATGGAGGGCATGCAGTGATAGACTTTGCATACCGTCCGCGTCGTGCCCCGTAGTGGTGTCCCTCAAACCCAATGTAGCGTCCATTAGTAGACCCTTTGCCAAAGATGTCCAAAGACTTGCCTATCTTAGGAGCGGTGTTGAGTCAATTCGACAGCGCCATTCCCTCCGACCGACACGGTGCGGCTCATGTTCTCGCTGCGTCCACCATTGATGGGATCGTACGCTCACGAAAGACGCGAAGTACAGTCTAGCTAGACGATCCACACAACCAAACACCAACAACCACGATAGCAATGAACACGCTAGACTGGAGGCGCTACGAGAGCGGGCGAGTCCGAGTATTTATATTACTTGGGGATAGTTTGTGTTGTTTATGCCAGTTCCAGACGAGCTGGACTGAAGCGAGAAGTCGAGTGGGGCAATCGGACGTCTCGGCGTTCTGACGAGCGCTTTCGGGTTGATTGAAGTTCACAAGGCGGTTTAATGCGCTCGGAAGTTCAGGCTTTTATGATGTGTAAAGTGCGGGTTAACGCGGTTGTGTTTATTTGGTGTGGTGTGTAGGTACTAGGGCTTCTCTGCGCGGGGCCGGAAAAGTCCCCGAATCGTATGTAGGTCTCGGTATATAACTTGAACGCGTCGTCTCGGCCGTCCAGACCGCGCGGTAACACACAATGCCTATCTCTGAGTCAAAATCCAACTATAACGCCTATCCGCGCGTTCTCCTGTCCGAATAATCGCGCAATGACTGCGGTTCCTGGCGGTAGAGCGGTTGACTGGTCGGGTATCCTCCTGCGCCGCGATGCCGGGCGCGATTCCACACTTGTTGATGTTTACCAAGGCAAGGCCGGCCTGGTTTCCACCCGTTCCCTTGTGCGCGACGCGGCTCAGAGGCCTGCGCGGCGGGGAGCGTACAGTCTGGACTGTCGATACGCGGGGAGCGAAGCCCTTGCCGGGGCGGACAGCGCTTGGCGGCGCCGACGCTCGGTTCGGAGTTCAACTCGGCGATGTCCGAGATCACGAGCTCGGACCCGAAGTTCCGGTCTCGGACCCGAAGTCACGTGTAGTCACGTTGATGGTTCGAGTTCCGCTTGCGCGGTGCTCTGCGTGTCTCCGCATGACGGCGAGCAGCAGGAAGGCTTGTCCGAGCCCCAACAATAATCTAGATTCTCTTGACACAGCAGGGCAAGAGGACTGAAGGCTTGAGGCGCGTATAGCGCGGCTACTTGATTAAGTAGGGCCCGCCAAAGGACTCGCAGGATGTCATCGACGACGCGCAGACTCGTGATCAGGCGCCGAAGAGCTCGCTGCTATCCTTGGTCAGTCATTGCAGACGGATAATGCTGCGGACTAGTTGTATTGAAGGTTAGGAAGCGTGGCGCTCCTGGTTTTCTATGTCATAAAATACCCCCGACGCGCCCGTTGTACAGTCGCGACGGCGGTGCAGTATATACGGATCCGCCCATACAATCTAGACCAAGTCGACTATATATCGCTTGTTTATGTATGTTTTTCCGCGTTTTTCAGCCGCAGGGCGTATCATCTCCCCCACACCAATAATCTGGACCGTCCTCGGTCAGTTAAGGTGGATGGGTGACTCGGTGTTGTTACTGGGTCGTCGGGCGACTCGCAGTCGACTGCTGCCGCAGTCTCTTGGTAGGTAGTTGTCGGAGGGCGGCAGGGCGCTAATTAAGCTTTTGGCTCACGCCGCATGTTCCGGACATGCATGGTCGTTTAAAAACCGGCCGTGCGCATCTCCCACGGTTTTCCAACTTGTCCTGAACCACGAAGGTACGTCGCTGGTACGCGCGTCCCGACGCGCCAGCCATACTGACGACGATCTAGAGATGACCGCCGGCAACGAAGGCCCACACTCGACGGTGCGCAAGGAGCACCAAGCTTTCGCCCGAAAGCTCCACCAGATCGAGAAGGATGCGCGCGCACTGCTCAAGGGCGAGGAGCCCACGGTGGTGAACTTGGTGCGGGGGATCCAGCGCGATAAGAAGCGCGCGACGATCCTCAAGAAGAAGCTGGTAAGCTCCGTCGTGCCAAGTTGGTTCCGGCGCTTGCTAACGCTTGTTTGTAGATATCTCTGTCCGACGCCATTGCGCAAGCGCGCAAACTGAGAGAGACGGGCCCCTGGGCGCCGACCGCGGCGATCCAAGGGGCAATGTTTTTCCTGTTCGACTGCCTCAAGGCATCGGACCCCAAATCGAAGTGGTACGCGCTGCAAGAGATCGCGCGCCCTCGGTAGGTCTCCGACATGGTTGGGTGACGCCTACTGACATTTTCACCATCTAGGTATGTGATCAACATCGTGGGGCTCGAGATCCCGACGCATGACGCGTCGTTATGCCGCGCTGACCGCGACCGGGTGCCGCGACAGGCGAACGAGGACTTGGTAAGTCCTTGTTGTTTTGATGGGTTCGCAGCGGACTAACTATTCGCAGGACGTGCTGCTCTTGCAGCAACCGCAGCTGCCCGCCGACTATGTCGCGGTCGAGGCAGAGCAGGGCGGTCTCGGCGAGGTCGAGCTGAGTGGGTGCGCGCCCGCGACGCCAGCCCAGCGGAGCTATCCGGGGCAGAAGGCGCACCAGCACGACAAGAACAAGGGCGCGACGAAGCGTAAGCGCGCCGCTAAGGTGCGCTCCCATTTTATTTGATTATATTGGTGGTGCTACAGCTAACGCTTCAACAGCGGAAGGTTGCCACCGATTCCGACGACGACGAGGCCGAAGTCGAAGAGCCGGAGCCCGCGCGCAAGCGCACGCGTTCCCAGACAAAGGCCGCCGCCCCCACCTCAAAGGGCAAGGGGAGGGCGAAGGCGGGCCCGAGCTCGGCGCGCGGTCGGCGCGGCAAGAAGGTCGCTACGCCCTCGGACGTCGAAGAGGAGGAGGAGGAGGAGCGCTCCCAGCCCGAGTCCGAGGAGCGCGATGTCGTACCGCCCGTGCGTTTCCGCGTGGACTGGGACCGTCGCCCGCGCGATGCGGACGGCGAGCTCTTGCCTTACGTCGAGACGGGGGACGAGGCTAGCGAGCGGCGTCAGGGCGAGTTCATCGCGAAGGGGCCGGCGCCCATCTACGGGCTGAACGGTGACCTGCTCGGTCTCACCTCGCCGCCTTCCGAGGACGACGCGCAGATGCTCGAGGAGCAGGCCGAGGAACAGGAGCGTCTCGCCGACGAGGAGGAGCAGATGCTCCGCATCAAGGAGGAGATCCGCGCCCATAACGAGCAGCGCATGCTCGCGGGGTTGGGTGACGACGACGCGCCTGAGTGGCCAACGGCGGGTAGCTCGGGGCTCCAGCCTGGCTGGACCCACCTCCCGGACGCCGAGGACGAAGAGGACGGCAACGCGGGGCATCCGGGCGCCGAGGAGGAGGAAGAGGAGCTTGAGG